CCAAACAGACACCCTACTGAATCGGAGAAAATATTTTCACACCACGCATCTCACAAGAGACTGATATTAAAGATATACAAAGAGTTCTTAACTCAACAAAAGAAAACAAATGATTGGGGGCCTTCCTGGTGGCACAGGGGTTAAAGACAGTGCTATGAAGCTATCTCCAGCCATTACAGCACAAGTTCGATCCCTGGCCAGCCAGGAAGCTACCCTGATGCAGCAGACCTCTCCTGTCTTGCCCGCTGCTCCCTCAGCAGTGTATTTTGGTGGATCTGCCTGTTCTGCCCCCCACTATGTCTCTTTGTCCTTTTCCTCCTACCCCCAACCTCTGGCTTACACCCCAGTTCTTGTATGCATAAATAAATAAATCTTTAAAAAAAAAGAAATGATTGAATCAAAAAATGGGCAGAAGAGCTAAATAAGAACTTCTCCAAAGAAGACACAGATGGCCAACAGGCACAAGAAAAAATTTTGTTACTCACCCTCAGGAAAATGCAAATCAAAACCATAGTGAGATACCATCTTGCACCCTTGAGAATGGCCCAAATAGAAAGGCCAGAAAAAAGTGCTGGTGAGGATGCGGAGAAGGACCCCACCCCAGATACTGTTGGTGGGAGTGTAGATGGGGGTCCAGTCCCTATGGGAAAGAGAGCGGCGGGTTCCTCAAGACACTAAAATGGATCTACCATATGATCCAGCAATCCTACTCAAGGAATCTGCTCAAAGAACACAAAACACTAATTTGAAAGGAAATCTTCACTATGTTTATTGCAGCACTATTTCTGGTACAGGGCAGGAAGAGGGACACCCCAGAACCTCCAAACCTGCCTGCTCTAAAAAGGTTCTACCGTCCGCTGCATCAAGACAAAACATAAGAACTTTAATAGAAAGTTCTAATAGAACTTTAATAGAAAGTTTTAATGCAATTAGTGTGCAATACAGAAAAGACAATACAGTTTCCAAATCAAGCACCCAGTTACCCATTCCCCATGGGTAAATGTCCAGCCAAACAGGGTTGGCCCTGAGGAAGGCCGGAAAGTTGCCTAAGTCTAAAGCACTTTCCGTCGGGGACCCATAGAAAAGGGTGAGAAACAGTCAGACAAGTCTGGGAGGAAAAGAAAAACTCAAAGCCAAGATAAAAGCTGCCATTGTTAACTCCCCACGGGTCTCTCACCCACATCTGTTCCAACCAGGCCAGGACCAGGAAGCAAGTGCGGCTTCTTCACACGTCTGCTCCAGGTGCCTCCTCCAGGTTTCCTTACTCTCCATCCTTCCTCCTCCCTTCTCCAGTCTCCTCTCCAGCTTTTCCTCCCTGCTTAGCTCCACCCTACCTGGGTGGGGCAGGGAACCTGGAACCTCACCTTTTCCTGGGACCACCTGTTACATTTGCAATAGCCAAGACATGGGAACAACTTAAGTGCCTCAAAACAGATGAGTGGATCAATCAAGCAAACGTAATTTGCCAGGGAACATAAGCTTGTAACTTTGAAAGCCAAGTCCAGCCAATTCCACATCACCGCTGTTAGCACTTGGTCCCAGGGCCACACCTCTCCTCTGGCCACCCTGCTGCAGAGGGTTCAAGCCAGACCTTGTTGCCGCCTTCTTGCAACACCTCCCATTTCTCTCAGTGTACAACCTAACAGTCGCGGGATAATGCCCAAATTACCCACTCGTGCTCGTTAACCTAGGCCCTGGGCATGCTGGGGTGGGGGGTGCCTCCTGAATCCTGAAGCATAAAAGCCCCAGTGCCCAGTGGTCAGGTCCTCTCCCAGGGCACTCCTTCTCATCCCCAGATCTCTGCTCACTCACTAGAACGCAGCTGCCCATGGAGAGCCCACACAACTGCTCCTGTCCCCAGTTCTCTCCCAGTAAGGGCTCCTCCAGATGCTCAGTGGTGTGAAAATGGGGCTCACGGGCTTTGACAGAGAGCAGTGCTCGTTTCCAGGCTGCCCTGTACCCCAAAACCACATGTACCTCAAAGACCACATGTACCTCAAAGACCACATGTATCTCAAAGACCACAATTTTTGGCGAAGGCATGAAGAATCCGTGATCTCCTAAAGTATGTATAGGACAAAAGCTGGTCACCTACCTGACGACGATCGCCGACATTGGAGTATTGGGGGTGCTCTTCTGGCATTTACTCCGGTTTGCAGTGTTCATGATGTTTCTCTGCCACAGGGGCATACTGCTCGGCTTTGGGCTCAGGTTAATCTCCTTTGGATACTCATGTCTTTTTAAGACTCTTTCTAATCCAGAGAGTTCAGGATCCTCACCTAGGAATAGAATAAGCAATTCAGCGTTCCTGCCCACATCCACATTGGTGTTACCTTGAGAGAGAATGTTTATGCCATTTGAGAACTGCTATTTAATGTTAATATTCCTTCATTCAACAATATTACTGAGGGACATTTTCACTTTAGCCTGATCCTTGACAGCTGCTGCACCTCCCCTGCAGTGACCTTTAGGGCTAACCGTCCCGAGACGGCCTCATCGTTCACTGCTGTGCTGGTCCGCGGCAACAGCAAATAGGGGCACAGCAAAGGAATGAATGAACAAGCAAATGAATAAACAGATGTGCCAGTCCCCGTTATAAATACTGAAGGTAATTTGTGTAGTTTGTGCATGATTTGTAAACTAATGGCAAGTGATGGTACGGTTATTTTATCTTCGAGGACGTTAACCACACTGTGCGTTTGCGTCACATCCACTGCTACATCTTGGCCTCAGTGACCCCCACCAAGTTGCCCATCTGCAATGAGACAAAGAGCTGGGCCACCCTGTAATTCAATCCATTGCTTCCTTCATCAAAACATTCTTGGGCCTCCCTGGTGGCTCAGGGGTTGATGATAGCACTGTCAAGCTATCGCCAGCCTCTACAGCATGAGTTCAATCCCTGCCCGCCCAGGAGCTGTGCACATGGCGCAGCAGACCTCTCCTATCTCGCCCGCTGCTCCCCTCATCATTGTAATTCAGTCAATCTGCCTGTTCTGTTCCCACTCTGTCTCTGGTGAATCCACTCACCCTTCACACCTCTGGCCCGTACCCCAGCTCTTGTATGCATAAATAAATAAATACTGGATGGTCTCACTCATAGCAGGAATTTAGAAAACCTAAATAAGGCACGAGGAAAAAGACTAATACAAAGTAAAAATCAAAATCAACAAGGAACTATAAACAGAGACATACCACGGAGGGGGAGAGGGGAGGGAAGGAAAGAGGAAGGACTAGGGTCAAAATAAGGGGGTGGGGGTGCAATTGTATGGGGACTATAAACCAAAATGATAATGCATACATTGTGCAAAAATGGAAAATGATGTAAGAATTATATAAAATAAAATATTAATTAAAAATAGATACTAAGAGAAAAAAAATGAAATAAAAATTTGACCAGTACGATGACCTACAAATAAATATCTCCTTGATTTGTCTTTCACCAGAATGCATAAACATCTTTCATGTTTGTGGGTGATTTGTATTTCATGTTGTGAATTGCGGGTCTATAATAGTTATCAGGTGTATTAAGTTGCTTATCTTTTTCTTGATGATTTTTATGTAACCTGGATATTGGGCCTGATTCACAATTATGTGGATTCAGGGATTAGAGATTAATCAGAATACAAATGGCCAAATTTGCCATAATGCTTTAAAATCATTATCCTAATACATACCTTCCTACATGTACGATACACAGTGTGTTAATCACTCTGTGATCACTCCAGCAGCTTCTATTTGCTTTGTAAATTCATGGACTCAGGTAGCTATCATGTACCTTTGTCCTTCATTTAAGTATGAACTCAGAGGGCAGGCTCCACCCCATTCTGCAAATCACTCCAGTTATCAACTTCCCCAACAAGTTTCTGGAGTGGCAGATGGACAGTATGACTCCAAATTGCAAACAATGAAGGTGGCTTATAATCCTCAGGGGAAATGTCCGGTTCTCCCTGGGTTGGTATAATCCTGGCAACACAAGGAAGGAGTAGCTGGAAGTAGAGCAAAGATATAAACTTCAAATCCTGACCTTCAACCTGGACATTCTCTCATTCACCTTAAATTCAAATCCAAGTCTGAAATTGCAATTTTAGTGATTATTTCCCACTCAGTCTCCTTTCTATCTTGCTATTGGTATGCTTTGCCTAAAGAAGATCAACAGGTATTTCTGGTTCGCAAAAGAATAGTTGAATAAAAGGAGAGAGATAATGGTGAGGCTATTTATAATTGCCAAGTTATGGACACTACCTGTGTCAGAGACACAGGTGTGGATAAAGATGTGGTGGTACATATACACAATGGAATACAACTCAGCTATGAAAAAGAAAGATGAATTCTTGACATTTGTGACGACATGAAGGGAAATGGAAGGTATATGATACTAAGCAAAATCAATCATATGAAAATAAAGAAACAGGGGCCTCCCCGGTGGCACAGCAGGTTGAGCACAGTGCCGTGAAGCTGTCTGCAGCCGCTGCAATGCCGGTTCGGTTCCCGGCTGGCCAGGGAGAATCCCACATGGTGACGTAGACCTCTCCTGTCTCGCCTGCTGCTCCCTCAGCAGTGCTTTCGGTCCATCTGCCTGTTCTGCTCCCTGCTCTGTCTGGTGAGTCCTCTCACCCTCCCATGACTCTGGCCTATACCCCAGCTCTTGTATAATAAAAAATAAATCTTTAAAAAATAAAGAAAATAAAGAAACAAAGCAAGCAGAAATTTGACAGAATTTAGCCTACCAGAGTGGGGGGAGACCCAATGGACTGTGGTGGTGGACAATGGGTGCCCTGAGGTGGGGGTGGTGTGGTAACATACATCTGAAGAGATGTGAATCTACACCTCTGTATTATATATAGTGGTATAAACCAATGTCACCTCAGTAAAATAGCATAATAACAAAAAGGAGCCATGATAGTGAGGTTAGCAGAGGGGTAAATTCCATAGTAATCTCTGAGAAAATGGGTCCCTTCAGTAAAATCAGTCCAGATGGGCTCCTGGGTCTCAAGGACTTATTCATGGCTGAAAGGACAGATAGGCTGTGCCAAGAGAAAGTATATGCTGACACAAGGGGTTCCCACCCACCCTCCAAGCACATACATTTTCTTTGTCCTCTTCACTCTTGTAGGAATGAAGCTTTTCCAATAGATGATTCGGGAGCAGCTTGTGCAGGCTAGAGAGTGTCTCGAAGGTGTGTCTCAGAACCTCAGGATGGTCATAGTTTTTCGGTGTGTTGAACGTGTCCAACAGTGGAAGTTTCAGTACGGTGTGATTTTTCTTGATGGTCCCCATGATTACCCATGGAACTGGAGAGTCCACAGAAAGAATTTGAAGTGTGGTGTCCCTGGCGATTATTCTGTCCCCCCACTTTCATCCATCTCTAAGAAGATAGCAAGGAATCTATATTTGGATCTCTGGTGGCTGAACAATCTGAGGGTCACAATGAACCTCACATCTTGGCCTGGAATCCTGAGTGCTCATCCTACAACTTCAAACCAGGGGAAATCAGCCACACTGGAAATACTGTGCCAAGTCTGACAGGGATCTGAGATAGAAACTCCACTTTCCTGTTGGACACGGACAATGTCTGAGGAAAACAGAGTGATTTCCTAAAGGGAAGAAGGAATCCTGGTGAGCACTCATCCAGTGTTATTTTCCCACCTGGCATTAAGAGAGGCCGTGTACATAATTAAGCTCCACAGACCAGCTAGGCCCTGAGGGAGAGTGGTTACATCAGCATAGTTCTTGAGCTGTACTGAGGAAAGCTTCATCGTCCAAAACTGAGGAAATGTCCAGATTAACACAGGTAAAAAGTCAAGCTGCTTCTTACCCTCTTATGCAAATGAACACCGAGGAGACAAAGTAAACAAAGCAAAATGCTCCTGCCTTAGCTTTCCTGCTGGATGCCACTCTTTATCGTGGACCCAGAGCAGAACCCAGCACAAGTTCTAAATAATCCTCCACCAGCACCAAATTTGATAGCTCTGCCCCAAGCAAGAGAGAAGCTGCCAAGAACTACTCCCACATTTGGGGACAGATGCCAATAGTAAGGTTTACCGTGGCCACTCCTGCAACAGGCACAGCCACTGAGGCAGGTTCATCACAGCAGGTTCATCTCTCCTCCATGAACTGGCAGGTAATCACTTTGCAAGTGCTGAGAAATAGGGAAAGTCATGTGGGCACAGCAAGCAATGCAAAAGCCAGTCTGCCAGCTGCTCACCAGACTTAAAACCTTTGGCCAAGGCCATTATGATGCAGTTACAAATGACTGGTCTCTCAGATAAGCATTAACAAATTTGTCTTTCCCATATTTCTTGCAATTTCCCCTTGTTTGACAGGTTTGTCTTCTTGCATTCCAAGGAAAAGGGTGTTAAAAAAGCAAGCTGGTACCCACCTGTCTCTGTGCCAACCCATCACCCCCTCTTTGCAGGCCCTCACCCATCTCCCCCTTTTTTTTCCCCTTTGTATAAATACCCCTGCCCTCTGCCAAAGAGCAGGACGGTTGTCTTTCAGACATGAGTCTGCTGCCCTCCTCATTTGTCAACAAATTAAATCACTTTCCTTTTCCTCAAACTCTGTTTTCTTTTATTGGCTGAGGGAAACTGAGGTCGGCGTTCGGTATCAATCATGATTAGCTCATAAAATACAACAGCGTCAAGAGCAGGAGACAGAAAAATTCACGGCTTAATGTTCAGTTAGCAGACTTAAAAAATAAAACTTTAAAAAATAAACGAAAAGGTAGACTTTAAAGGAATTCCTTTGAAATAAGTTGTAGAACTACCCAGACCTCTTAAATATAATGTGGTTCTCAACATCTCAGGAGATTTTCAGAGAGAAAGGGATTGGTGGGAGGGTTGGGGTAGAATGTTCTCATAGCCAGAGGCTACTTCCATCCAAGCACCTTGAGTTTAGGAGTTTAAATCCTTATAGGACCCAACTAGGAAAGAGCAAACTATGTGTTCCTTGGTCCACAGGCCAAGGAAATCAGCTATTAAAAGGTGGTTCTCCACACACTGTAATCCACCTATGTTTCTCAGTCATTACTCTAAATAGCAGTTGATGGAATTTTTTTAGCTAGTTCTCTGAAGTTTATGGTCCTTGGTTGAAATCTGAAGCAAGCCAGAATGATTACCTTTTTAAAAAAGATTTATTTATTTACGCATACAAGAGCAGGGGTACAGGCCAGAGGGGTGTGTGTAGGGTGAGGGAGGCGGGAGGGTGAGATGATTCACCAGAGACAGAACGGGGAACAACAGGCAGATCAATGAAAGTACACTGTTGAGGGGAGCAGCGGACGAGACAGGAGAGGTCTGCTGCGCCATGTGGATTGTTTCCTGGCCAGCCGGGGATCGAACTCGTACTACAGAGGCTGTGGACAGCTTCACAGGCTGTGTCTCAACCCCTTGCGCTAACAGGGAGGCCCCAGAATGATTCCATTTTAGTTTTAAATAAATCATCTGATTTTGCAGTGGGTAGCACTTCCTCAAGGAACCCATCTCATTCACTTCCTCTGCTGATGGTGTGGAGAGAACACTGTTAAGGGACAGGAGTTGAGGGTGGAGAAGGGAGACCTGTGTGATCTGGACAGCAGCCAGCCACCCCCATGTTCCTGGATGAAACCCATCCTTCCGTTTTATATCTTGCTTTTCCAGTCTGCATATGTCCATGTCTAGACTTCAATGAGCAATAAATATATGTGCCTTTTCAAAGTGGCATTTGTGAGAGTACCATTTTCTCGCCAGGAAAGGTGAGAAAGATTCCTCCAAAGCCTGAAGCCTGCGATGCTTTCCTTATAGTGACAATGAGTTGCTAAGAAGGGCCGGCCGGGCCACTCAGGCGCCAGCAGTGTTATTAACTAAATTGATCCCACAGCATAGCAGCAGCAAGACCTGGGTTGTTTTTCTAGTTAGGTTGGTCTCTTATTCCTGACTTTTGGGTAACAGACATGTCCTTCAAGTCCTTTTTCTTTGTCTTTTTGTTCCAAAGAAGGCTGTTGTGTCTCCGGAGCACCTTCCCCTCTGCCATGGTGGATGTGACAAGATCAGCTGGCTTCCAGATGGCAAGGTGTTCAGCAACGTTCAAAGGGAGAAGATCATCTCCAAGTTTCTTAAAGAGAGCGTTCTAAAGAGAGTGTTCCGTGCCAAGCAGGCGCCCAGCTACCAGAAAGAGGAGTCCAGCCACAGCTTTCCTGGCACCAGAAAGTAAGTTTTGATCCTGAAACTCAAGACAATATTCAAAGGAAATTTATGATATAAAGGCAAGGAAAATAGGGCTGTGGGCACCCGGAGGGCTAGGAAGACTTAGGAAGCCATGCAAGCTCAGAAATCAAGTCTTGCAGAAAAAAATCAAAGGTGGAAACACGTGATTGAGAATTTATGCAAAGTACCAGCCGCAGCATATGCAGCAGCAACAGATGCAGAATATACTCATCGACGCATTTAGCTTCTCTGGGAAGCATATCCGTGTACAGCACTATCACATTCATTCTGGGAATAGATTTTATTTGATTTTTTTTTTCAAGATGTATTTTATGCATAAAGAGCTGGGGGTGGGGACTGAAATACACTGCTGAGGGGAGCAGCGGGGATAGGAGAGGTCAGCTGCACCATGTGAGTCACCGCCCTGGCTGGGAATCGAACTCGTGCTGCAGTGGCTACCAATAGCTTCACAGTGCTGTGTTTAACCCCTTGTACCACCAGGAAAGCCCTCATTCTGGGAATAGATTTTAAACCAGATTTCTTGTGTTTCTGCAAGAAAGTGTTTCTATCCTCCCAAGCAAGGCATTGCTAAGGAAGCAGAGAACTAAAGGTTAATTTCTAAAACCAAAAACACAACTCCAAACTAAAAATATTTTTGTTTAGATTTCTTTAAAGGGAATTCTACAGAGAGCTAGGATATTTAAAGTAAATGCTCACAGAAACAGAGTTCTAAATCAAGAATAAATATAATTGGCTGTGACTGAAGACAAAACAGAATGGAGGGCCTCCCTGGTGGCACAAGGGGTTAAACACAGCACTGTGAAGCTATCCACAGTATCAGTAGCACAAATTCAAACCCCAGCCAGGGAGCTGACCTACATGGCGCATCAGACCTCTCCTGTCTCCCCGCTGCTACCCTTAGCATTGCATTTCAGTAGATTTGCCTGCTCTGCTCCCCACTCTGTCTCTGGTGAATCTTCTCACCCCCACACCTCTACCCTACACCCCAGCTCTTGTATGCATAAATAAATAAATTTAAAAAAATTAAAGTATGGCAAATCTCAGGCTACCACTGAAAATGGAATCCCAGCAGGCCTTAGAAGGAAGGAGCATTCTCTCAGGTCAAGGACTGATGTTAGAACTTGACCTGAGCTGCAAGGGACACGGCCCACTGTCCCCTGACTCCTTACTCTCCAGGCTGGGTCCAGTCCAGACCCGAGGGTTTGAAGAGATCATCCTTCTCTTAGTTGTTTCCCTTCTGTTTCACGTGGATGCACGACATTTCCTACTTAGTTCTGCTCCTTGGACTTTTCTCCTGACCACATAGGCGGGATGTGCCCCACACAGACTCTGCTGCCACTCTAATTTTACACCTGCAGTGCTCCAAGTTTTAATTCAACAAGGGATGTGAGGGAGGCCTGACTTTGACACTGATGTCAAGCTTACAAAAGGCCTGCAGAGAAAGGAACAGTCCAGTGAGCCTGGTCACCAGAAAGGAAGGTTTTTCAAAATATATTCTGTCAAGGTAAAAAAGTATCTGAGAGGATGTATTTATGGATGACAATTTTCAGAGGGATCAGGAATCAGATCAAGTTCTAAAAGAAAAGGAAAAGAGAGAAACAGAAACCCAACCAGGAAGATGGAGATGTAAGCTAGAAAGGTGAATTGCACCCACTCATGCACACATAAATTTTGTTCCTGTCCAGAGGAAAAACAAAACATTTCCCAGCTAGACATATCTGTAGAAAGTGTTAGCTGCGAAGGCATGGATCCCAGTATTTACCCAATGTACTATCTTTCAAGTAATTGTAAGTTGGGAAAAGTCACTGAATATTTTTAAAGTTCAGGTTACTCATTTCTAAAATAAGAATAACTAGCAGTATCAAATTCATTGTGCTGTTAACGAGTCTTAAAAATGGTTCATCTATAGAAAATGTTCAGCATGATGATAGTCACCACACCATACACCATATATTCTAGTGATGTTATTCTTGGAGCAATTTAATTCAAACATTTATTGAGTAACTGTTATCCTGTGCCAGGCACTCCACTAGAACAGGCCAGGTCTTGCCTTGAAGGTGTTGGAAAGCTTATGAGTGAAATATCATAACTGAATAATTATGTGACAGTGAATGAGAAATTATAAACAAACCATTTATATATAACCTGAAATAGGGATGTCAGAGGATCAATTAATTCTCCCTGGGGTGTCAGGGAAGACAAGTGAACTAGATCTACATGCATAGGATTTAACATGGCAGAGGGAGGGAGGAGGGTGCTCAGGGGAGTCATGCAACATCTGACACATTTGACATGTAGCAGGCCCAGGAAAGGTGATGTGCAGGCCTCTAAATCTGGCTGCAGGCCTGGCTAAGAATGTGGACTTTACTTGTTAGGCCTTCGGAGCACAAACGAACAGGTCTGTGTTTTAGAGCTACAGAATGGAAAGTAGAAGAGGCCCCAGAGACCATCTTCCAAGGGCCTAGGTAACCTCCTGTTCCCTCACCTGTCCTGTCTCCTAGGAACCTTAGCAGGTAGGCAGTGATGGAGATGCAGGATGAACCAGACAGGCAAGGCCCATGCCCGCAGAGAGTTTTACACTCTAGTGGCATCAAACAGACAACAAAAAAGCAAACAGGACAAATAAACCAGACCGCAAGGACCAGAGAATTGCAGCCGGTATTAGGAGATGCAGTGAGGTGGCTAAGGCTTCTCTAAAGTGAAGTCAGGGAGCCCTTTCTGAGAGGAAAACAGAAACACAGAGGAAGGAGACAGACATCCCTGGGCAGAGGGGGTTGGGAGTGGGGAGCAAAGATCTGAGAAACCCTGGAAATTCTTTTCAGCATCTGGTGTATCTGTATGTGTTTTTCTGGGAAATTCTCAAAGATACGTGGGATCCCCTTCGACCAAATGTTAAGAACCAGTGCATTTAGGACACCACTAAAGGACACATGTGGGCCGGGGAGGTTTGACTCTCCAGCTGGGCTTTCAACCTAACTGAGCATCAGCAACCTAACAAAAGCATCAGCAAAAGACCCCAGACATTTTCTTCAAATACCAACACCTCATTATGAAGGGTGCACGCCACAAGCATTTTTACTATTCATTTACCTACATGGACTTGAGCTCGATTCTCAGACACAAACATGTAAATACCCACATATTTACTACTTACATACATTCTATACATATCGTAATGCATATGTTATATCAACAGTATGCGTGTATATATTCCTCCGCCCTACCCCATCCACCCTATCCCCACTCCCATCCTCACCCCGACTTACCTCACGCTATCCAAGTAAGAGATACTCGAAGGGCAAAACTGGCCTCCCTTGGTCTGAAGTGAATCCTAGATGAAAAAAAAAACCTCAAAAACAAAACACACTCGTTTGTCTGACCATCAAGCGATGCCCCTGACCTAGAAGTGAGCGTGGCGGGCGCACTGTCAGCGGGCGCCTCCCTTTGCGCCCCTTCGTCCCATGTGGCCTGCCAGAGTCTGGCGAGAACTTGGCCACGTCGAGCCCCGAGTCCAGCGCAGCGCCGGGCAGGGCACCCTCGGTGCTTGGCCCGGCCCTGGGGAGGAAGAGGCGGGCCAGGCCTTGGCGGCCGGGGGCCCACCCGGCGCCACGCGGGGCCCCGCTGGGTCGCTCGGGGTCAAGGTCAGGCCCCGGAAGGCGCCGACGCCCAGCGCCGGCCCCCCACCCCCCGCCCGCCATGGCCGAGTGGCGCCGGCCGTCCGGGGGCGAAGGCCTGCGGACCCCCTCCGGGCCCAGCGGCTGGGCCGCCGCGCCTGCGGGCGCCGGTACCCGGTGGCCCCAGTGGAACGCGGGGCCGCGGCGGGTGGCTCCGCTCGAGGACCGCGGCCGCGGGGCCCGGCCGCCGGCGAGGCCGCCCTGGGCACCCCCGCGCCGGCCCGCGGGCCCCGCCGGCCGCCCGCCCGCGGCCCGCTGCCCGCGCTGCCCTCCCTGTCCCCCGCGGCAGGAAGGCCGAGCCGGACGCGGCGCCCGCCAAGCCGCACGCGGAGGCGCCGGGGCCTCGGGGCGCCCTCGGGGACGACGCCGGGGACGACACGTGGGCCACGGGGTAAGAGTGGCCGCCCCGTCCCGGGCCCTCCCTTCCGGGCCGCCGCCCCACGCCGGGCCCGACCCCTCTCTCGGGCCCCTCCCAGCCGCGGCCCCCGCCCCCCCCAGCCGCCCGCGCCCCCCCCAGCCGAGCCGAAGCGGGAGCGCCACCCCCACCCCCCACCCGCCGCCGCCCAACTTAGCCCTCGCCCCACTTCTCAGCACCACCCGCCCCTACAGACAATAAATTGTAAACGTTGAGAAAATAGCTGATGACTGCGGTGGCTTTCATGTGCGAGTCTTTCTGAGAGCCAGAGATTCAATGGTTTTTACCTCAGGCCGGGGTGGGCGGAGGCGGCGCATGATAGTTTGGTCTGGAAAGCGGTGTTGGCTCCTGAGGGCCTGTTAGTGTCTCTGAACTGTCTGGGGCGCGGGCCCGCCTGGGGCTTTCATCCCGCAATCCAGAAGCTTTGAATGCCTGGGACAGAACTAGCCCTCTGTGGTAAGTTCCAGAGAATTCCTTGTCTTTTGTCTAATTTGTATTTTATCCTCCTGCCTGATGTCTCCTTTCTCACCCTGGCATTTCCTAATCTTGTCAGGAGATCTTCCCACTGGCTGGGCCCTCTCTGCCCCCATTTTCTGACTGAGTAGCTGGTTGACTACCTGATGCTGTCCCCAGCCTGCCTTCCTAGGCCCCTCCCCTGCTTCCTAAGCATTTTCTTCACCTCCTTTAGTTGGGGAGCCAAAGCTCATGTTTTCTCTTAAATAAATGTTGTGCCTCACCCATCCATGTGCCTGTCCCACAACCTGTATAGGATTTTAAGGGAACACAGGACCAGCTACAGCAAAATGGGGAGAAGAAACGGGGAGACCGGTGGCACCAACCTGCGGGCCTCAGACATCTCTCATGAGGTATGGCAGATGCTGTTGAACTTGAGTGTTTGGGTAGCGGCTCCCCTATTGCCCCTTCTGCAGAGGCCCCTTGCTGCTTTCTCTCTGCCAGAGGTCTGTACCGAGTCCTCTCTTGGAACATATGAAACAGAGAAAGTTTCTTTCTTTTCACAAAGCAAAAGTTAGCCAGCCTCTCTAATTCGCCAACATTTCCTATAGCAATTGGGTTTTGTTAAAGATGCTACTTGATCAATCAGGCAGTATTTACCTTTTTAAAGCTTCTCACACATGTTTTGTGGGAAAATGTTGGTAAGGCAGATGGGCTCTTGAAAAGGGGAACCCACCCCAACCATTCGGGAGTTTGCAGTCTAGCTGACACCACATGTGATGTTGAGTCTCGCTTGCCACTTTCCACATTTGATGATTTTAGTTTTATTGTTAATATAAGACTAGTTCTCTCACATGTTATGTTGTACTTGAGCATGCTAGGATTACATGACTGAAAGAAACTTGAGAATCTATCAGGGAGGTTTTAAAAATACAGATAAGTGGAACTTAACGTTAATCCTGATGAATCAGAATCTGTGGTATTTTTTTTCAACTGTTATTTTTTAAAGGCTCCCCCAGTGAGTATCATGTAGAGACTAGACCTGTACCGAGGGAGCAGAGAACTTTACTTATTTTTCAAAAATCTCCAGAGAAAATCACCTGTGGCCTATCTTCCAGTGTTCAACTACCCTTTCTTGTCTCCAAGGAGACAACTTCCTTGCGGGTCAACTAAATCTCCACACGGACTTTAAGCTCATTTCTGCCTGTTCCACCTCAGTGTGGAGAGCTGATACTGAACTCCTAGCACTTCATTTGGATATTGGTTAGAGTTTAATATATAAAGGGGTTTTCTTGTTTGAGATAGAAAACAACAGAGTTCACTTCTTAAAAATTACTTAAACTGCCTCATCATTTCCCCTTCTCTAGGATAAGTTATTACAAGCCTCTTCTATACACACTCCATATTTCCCTCCCAGAGTGCTCGGCACAGTTTCCAGAATTCCCCCAGTCTTTCTTAGCACCGTTCTCATTCCTTTGGGGGTTTTCTTTGGGATATTTCCTGAGAGTTACTCAATATCTGGAGTCTAGGATGTGCCGGGGACTGATCAGCGTCAAGGATGATGTGACGATGAGAGGGTTTTCTTTGGTTGATGGAAAAATTTTATAGGCTTTCAGGTCTGGTATTCAGATACAGAAAATTTAGTGAATGTACCCTATGGACCAGGAATACCCTGAACTGGACATTTTATTCTCTCCTAAACATCTAATTTGGAAATCTGTGTGCCATGACTTTTAAGAAAATGAGAATGAAACTGTAATTATTGTAAGAGCCTTTCCATGTCTGCACTATGTTGTCAAAAGCTGATAGGTCAGATAAGAGGCCATGGCCCACTCCTTGGAAATGCTGGCCTGTCCTTACGGGAGGGAGGGGCCTTGTACCTTTTGTCATCCTTTGCCCAAAGGGCATGTAACATCATGCATAGTTTGAACTTTCCTTAACATTATCTTAAAATGAATATTGTTTTAGAATTTACCTCACTGGAGCCTGGATTCAGAAGGACCTGTGTCTGAAAATAAAAACCACCTCCCTGGAAGGGAGAGTGCAGCAGGTGGTAAGAAACTCTAGATATCTTTACACCGATAATTGTAAACACATGGAGATTTATATTTACAACATGAATAGCTGCTCATATTAAAGGGGGTTTGCTTTTTGATATAACCAGTGTTGTTTAATTATTAATTGTCATTTTTTCATATACATTCTTTCAGGCAAAATTAACAAGGTAAGGATAAATGTTTGGTTTTAAATAATACAGAAAACAGTATTAAACATTATATGTATATATGTTCTTGAAAAAAAGTTTCTTTCCTCAAAGTTAAACTTTACATTTCCCTTCTATAGAGTTCTTTAAGCAAGTCAAAGCCTTTACTGTTTTCCAGGGGTGCAAATTGGTTATTCAATTAATATTATATTAAGTTAATATAACAATATTGTAAGTGAAAATTAACATTGTAGATAGTGAAAATATTGTTTTCTAGAGATTGCAAAAAGGGAAGTAGTCTCGGCCCTTAAGATATCATAAAGCTATTGAAATGTTTAACATATTATTATTAGTGTGAAAATTTATCTTTCATTTACCTTTTTTGGATCAAAAGATAAAATACCTCCTATTAGAAGAAAGACAGTCTTTCATGATATTCAAGACTCATTAGGTTACACTTAGTATTAATGATTAAAGTCATTGCTGCTGAAGCCAGCAAAAACAAATGACGTCTGTGTGGATTAAAGAGGAGTATCCAAGGATTTGACTGCATATTTCTTGGTTAGAACAAGAACTGTACATTCTTAGAAGAATAGGGGAGCAGAGATATGTTGTGTTCAAAAGTTTCCTCTGCTTTATAGAACCATCTGGAAATTCCAATAGAGCAAATGATGCTAGACCTTAATTTGTCAGAGCCTGCTCACAAAATAACACAGGTGGGGATTTATTCATCATACTCTTAGTAAAGTGTTGTTTAGAAATCCATGCAGTCACTAAATTGTCCATGGTTTTTCTCTTATCAGAATAGTAAACAAGGGTCATTTCAGTTATGGGGTTATCCTCTTAACGAAGGAAGTGCCACAGAGAACAGGTGAGCGCGTACTTACTTATTTTTGTGAACCCCTAAATGACTAAAACAAAGTCAACTACAGATGCGATAACTACTCGTCTGAAATTCTAGAACCGAATACAACTAGAAGAAAAAAGCATTGTGTACAAATAGTGGGAGATTACAGAGACTTGCCCTTAACCAGGGCATGTGACTGGCAGACCCCACAGAGATAACCGGGACATGGGTGATTAAGCCTTTACTTCCCTTACAAGAAGTGTTAAGATGGATAGAGTTTGGACCTGTTTTTTGAAGGGAAGAGGAATTGTAATAGAAAAGTAATTTCCCACGTGCGTGGAAGAATTTAAATTCATTGAACCCTCACTGAACTCAGTGAATGATCACAGCAATGCTATAAGGTAGGTTCTGTCACCATCACCCTGTTTTACAGATGATAACACTGAGGCTGACAGGCAGTTCACCTAGGCCACACCATCAATGACTGGTAGAACCAGGTTGTAAAAGTAGCTTGGTTCTCGCTCATCACCACTATGGTATATTACTTCTCAGATCTTACCTGGGTTTGAATGCTTTTATATAGAGAGATAGATAGATATAGTGTGTGTGTGTGTGTATATATATATATATATATATATATAAAGGTGTGTTTGTGTGTACATATATATATTTTTTGTTCTTAAATTTTCTTTTTTTTAAGATTATTTATGCATACAAGAGCTGGGGTACAGGCCAGAGGTGTGGGAGTGAGAGGATTCAGCAGAGACAGAGTGGGGAACAGAACAGGCAGATTGACCAAAGTATACTGCTGATGGGAGCAACGGGCGAGTTAGGAGAGGTCTGCTGCGCCATGTGGGTTGCTCCCTGGCCGGCGGGGAATCGAACCGTCGAACTCATGCTGCAGAAGCTGTGGACAGCTTCATAGGTTGCGTCTTAACCCCTTGTGCCACCAGGGAGGCCCCTCTTAAATTTTCATGTGTATTAGAACCAGCTAGAATGTTTCTTAAAAACACAAATTACTGTTATTCGAAATTAACACTTCATCGAGCCTTGTCATGTCACCTTTACACACAGTGTATTTCTTAATGGCGATCCTGAGGTCTTTTCCTCTCTTTTGACCCAGTTTCACAACAGGGTGGTTCCCTTGATAACAATTATTTCCTAATCTGATGATTTTACCTCTGATAGGCTCAGTGAAGCTCACCTCAGGCTGGAATTTCAGGGGTGAACCTGGGAAGCCCAGTGACTAATGTTCCGTGGAAAACTGGTGCCTGCAGGGTAGGAGAGACTGGAAAGAACTCAGCTGGGAACAGGAATTTCAATGAGAGGTCAAATTAAGTCAATTTTATCACATGGACAGAGGAGCAAACACAAACTGAGGCAGTCAAGGGCAGCAGCCAAGGCCACGGACCTGGGGTCCCAGCACATGGCTTTGATTCCCAGCTCTTCCACTTACTAGATGCGCAAACCTCACCTGTCTGTGCCTCAGTTTCCCTACCCATAAAAGGTAGAAAATCAAAGTGCCTGTCTCACGAGGTTGTTGCGGGACTACCCAGAATAATGTGTTTATAGCTTTTCATTATTGATACTGGAAGGGCCTGATAAAGGGCAGAGTTAGAAGTTGGGCATCCATGAAAGACTAGTCTTCTAATCTAGTCTTCTAACCTCCAAATTTCATGCTCTTTTTTTTTTTAAGATTTATTTATTTATGAATATACAAGACGTGGGGTACAGTCCAGAGATGCGGGGGGTGAGAGGATTCGCCAGAGACACAGTGGGGAACAGAACAGGCAGATTGACTGAAATACACTGCTGAGGGGAGCAGCAGGCGAGACAGGAGAGGTCTGCCTCGCCACGTCTCTCCTACCTACTCCTAAAACAAAAGTGCACCATCAGGTGAACATTACTGTGGGCTATGTCTGGAATAATTTTTAATAGCCATTGTCTTGTTTCTTTGTATATTAGAATAATTTTTAAAAAGCATAATGGATAGGGCCTCCCTGGTGGTCTTGGGGGTAAGTCTCAGCATTACCACTGTGATCCCCTCCGAAGCAGCATGAGTTCAGTCCTCACTGGGGACTGAAGTGGGTGCAGCAGACTTCTCCTTTCTCGCCCACTGCTCCCCGCAGCAGTATATTTCAGTAGATCTGCCTGTTCCACACCCCACTCTGTCTCTGGTGAATCCTCTCACCTGCCCCCCACCTCTGGCCGACACCCCAATTCTACGCAAAAATAAATAAATAAAATCTTAAAAGCATAATGACTAAAGTAAAACCCTTTATTAAGTAACCTTCATTAGGTAACATTCTAAGTGTCTTTTTTTTTTTTTAAAAGATTTATTTATTTATGTATACAAGAGCTCGGGTATAGGCCAGAGGTGTGGGGGGTGAGAGGATCGACCAGAGATAGAGTGGGGAACAGAATGGGCAGACTGACCGAAGTACACTGCCGAGGGGAGCAGCAGGTGAGACAGGAGAGATCTGCTGCCCCATGTGGGTTGCTTCCTGGCTGGCCGGGATCGAACTCATGCTGCAGTAGCTGCGATTTGCTTCATGGTGTGGTGCTTAAACCCTTGCGCCACCAGGGAGGCCCCTAAGTGTCTCTTTTTATCTAACTCTAGGCCAATAGACATTTCACTGTAATTTCAGTTTGCACTGGATAGCCTCTTTTTCAGACTTCTTAACTGTATGTACAATATGTTCAAAGATAAATATATAAAATTAGTCTAGTGTCCCTCAGGCACTAGATTGCTCTCCACCTGAGAATGGACAATGGAATGCCCAGTTAATATCTCAATCTATACTTTTCAAAATTGCATACATTTCACTGTGATTAAGGCATATTAGGAAATTAACATTTCTGTTACAGCTAGGTAGATCAATGTGTCACTGGGAACTAAACATTAAACAGTCTTTGATAAAGGTTATTTGTTATCATTTTGACAGCATTTTCATTCCAGGCAACAAGTCATTCATTCATGAAATCATTTTTTTCAGGGATTTCAAGAAATCTTCAATGGAGACTGGCTTTAATGTAACCAATAATTCCATAAGGCTGTTTACGATGAACGACCCTCTTAGTGCCTCAGTTGATAAGCAAATTGGTTCCTACCCTAGTCTGCAGATGCCTTTAGGTCTCTGCTGGCCCTACGCTGACGGAGACTTTTTTAAGGACAGAATGGAACCTCGCCTTACTTTGTATTCAACTGAAGACATCAACAGTGACATTTTCTCTCCGCTGAACTGGAATTTGAAATATGGAAACAGCAGCGTGGAAGAAAATTTAACAGATGAAAGCGATTTATCAGAAAATGAAAAAGCAAATGACACTTTACTGAGCTATTTTAAAAAGATGGACCTGAACTTAAAACCAGAGACAATAGACACCGTTGAAGAGCCTTTCACAGAGGAATCGAGTGAGGTATTCCCGTATCCTGATTTTCTCCCTCCTCCTTTCAACACCCTGGACTTGCACAAATTGGCCCTTTCAAAATCTGAGAGTTGGAAAGGGACCATGGAACCTGCAGAAAGCTCTGTTGATCGCTTGATAACCCGTTTACTGGAAATGGAAAGATTACAACACTTGACTGTACAAAAAGAGCGGCCAAGGCTGCCCTCCACCTTCTGCACCCTGGCAGTTAATGAACGACCGTCTTCCTCCAAAGCTCTATCCAAAGGGAGACAGCCAAAGCTTTCTGACTCTTTAAGTCTTCAGACAATGGGTATAGATAAAAATCGAGAAAAAAGGAAAAGCAGTTCTGGTCCTTTCAGCCTGGAACAAAATGCTGCAAAATGGAACTGGAGCAATGCTGGGAAATACAAGTGGAGTTCTAGGCCATCTCTAAAAAGCTCCACCTCTGCGAAACAATTGATTGCAACTTACAAAGACTTCAAGAGTCCCAAAAGTTCCATTTTAATTCCATGCCAAGAACTCTCTGCTAAGCAAGTGACTGCCCAGACAACTCCATCACTGGTTAAAATGGTCTCGGCTAGATGTCTGCCACCGAGGTCTCCGGTCCATGTTTCACCCCTCCCTCTGTCTTTTCCCGAAAACCAGAGGGAAGAAATTAAGGCATCAAGGACCAAAAAGAAACTTTACCGAAAAAATATAGCATTGGACAGACCGTTCTATATTCAGAAGCTAAACTGTCTGTCACCATCATTTATAGTGAAGGATAAGTGCTCACCCATTAACCAAAAGTAACACTGTTCTTCCATGTGAGCACATCTGTTCCAAGAAGTCCGGCTAAAATATGGTTCATCATGCAGAAGATACAGGTAATAAAATCACACACAAAACAATTGCTCCATATGATACAGAGTGGGGCTTGTGAGAATCTCTGCTGAGATGTCTGTGTAGACCCTGGCGCTCCTAGACGGGGAGAGGGGACATCTTTTGCACGTTATGTTGCAGAGAAGTGTTCACTTAGTAAACTAAGGCATTTGAGTCAAAAGATTATTTGTTTCCAGTTGTAACTCTGTCATCAATAAATGGTATAAATAAAGTATTCCCACTGTCGTCTTTTATTGTGTTCTTAGGCGGTCCTACGTGAGGCCATTATTTGATCAGTGATGTCTTTGGTTCTCTGGTACTTTTTTTGCTTTCCCTCCTCATCTCCACAAACCTCCTTTGTCTACTCTTTTGACCTCTGGGTATTTGTTTGGCTCTTCAAAGCTCAAGTTGGTCTTCTGTTAAATTAACATACAAGATCCAGAAAGCCCTATGAGTCATAGGCTTTCCATTTCCCAGGCACTCTCATCATATTCAGGAGAGCAAGACCAGTTCTCTTTGGGGCCCAACCTCAGGTTTAGGCATGAAACAGTCCTCTTCTACTCAGCTCAAATAGTCGAAAGACATTCTAAGGGAGCCTGGGGGGTGGGGTGTGTGTGTGTGGGGTCACTCTGGAGCAGCCAAAACCTCACAGTAATGGAATTTCTTCTCATGGTTTTTCATTGTTAAATGTTGTAGGGTAAAGAAAATGTCAGGCTTTTCTGCCCTCCTGCCATCAGGATAGATGATGGATCCTTGTCCTGAATGCATGCCTGATGGGGGGCACCTGGAATAGGGTGTGGGCATAGGTAGATGGGATTCAGCTGAGCTAAGACTGTGCTTTTAAGGGCGGCGTCACGGGGACGCCAGCAGAAGGCAAAGCAGAAGCCAAGAGAAGAAGCCCGAAGCAGAAGCAGAGAACGCCAGAGAGCCCAGATAGAGTGAAGATTTGCTGGGGGCTGGGAGGACTGCCAGCCTCCCAGCCCCCCAGCACCCCTGCCTGCCATGTACCCGCTGAACCCCAATAAAGACCTGCAAAACCCCTGAGGACTCTGTCTCCTCCTTTACCCGGTCTGCTGGATCCTAGAAAACCTGCCCTGTGGTCTTCCTGACCTTACACACCCCTCCCCCAAATAAGATGGAATACTTGAATTAGGTATGTGAGATGAATTAAAGGACAATTTACATAAATGTGAAAACAACTGTACCTAAAGTTTCCTCTTTTCCACCTTTAGTAGAAGAAAAAGACTCAAATATTTTTCTAAGTCAGGGGTCAAAACATATGCTTAGTTTTTAGGTTAATTTCAAAATTTTTTGTAATCAGTTTACAGCAGTAGAAAATACTGTTCAGGATCTCATATAATAATGGAATTTTAGTTGTATCCCAGTTTCATTATCCAACATTCCTTGCATAGATTTACAGTATGAAAATACTTTTCACATAATGCCAATTTGCAATATTCTTGTTTCCTCATCAACTATTGTTCCTCTTATTCTTACCTGACTAGCGAGTCTTGAACCTTATTTGCAGCCCTTTGTCTTTTACCTGTTTGGGTTTTATTCCCTCGCCTTTAAGGGGTGCAGTGTTTTGGGTTTTTTTACTTGCAAAACCTTCAATGTGCCTGCTTTGTACCCTGAACAATTACTGCCTGGCAAGTATGCTTTTTGAAGTTTCTGAAAGAAAGGTATGGGCTTGATTCACAACTGAGGATTGTTACGAGTGACACGGCACTCACCAGACTGTTTGAACCCAGCTTCTGCCACTTACTCTGCACCTCAGGATGGTGCCTTAACTGATCTGCACTTCTGATCACTTAAAAGGTAGAAGGTAGAAGGCCTTTTACCTCATGTAATCATGTGAGGACTGAATAAAGTGCCTGGGAAAAAGTATCAGGGAAAACTAGGACACAAAAGAGGGCACCGGAATGTCACTGGAGAACAGCTCATCGCAGGTATTAAAGTCTTTCTTTCCAGGTGAGGACCAGGGGCCTACTTTGGAGTCATAAATACGGGTTTTCAGCCAAGACCAGGAATGGAGTGGTGGTGGAAGATGGGAAACTAGAGGTGGGGGGCAGCCCGTGAGGGAGAGGTGGAAAATGGGTCAGCGGCTCCAGGAAATAAATCTCTGCACTGAAGCCTGCCTTGGTCCCTTTGAATGTGGGGGAGTGAACTGCTTCTGGGTGCTAATGTTTTAAGAGATAGTTAAGGGCAAAGATTTTACTGGAAACATAACCAGACTAGGAGATTGGATCTGATTACACTCCTTTCAAGTTTTCAATTGTCTAAAATTGCTTCGTTTAATTGTGTGAAAAATATGTTAGCAGTGTTGCTGGCTTTGGTTAAGTCCAAGAGACTAGTAATTTCCATGTCATGATCACTTAGTGAAAACGCGGTTGCTGGGAGTTATTTTTCTGCTTAAACTACCTACGTACTCTGAGCCCAGATGCAGAGCATGTAGGAAGTACGCACCATCTACAGCTGACCTAGAACGAGGGGGTGAAAGACTCAATTTAAATAGGTAATACATGCCAATTTGGCGAAGACAGAAACTCACAAAAGGGGGATGGGGAGTGGGGGTGGTGGTGGTAGTAGTTATAAACAAATATTGTTATTTGGCTACTTTTCAGGGCAGTTGGACGTCAACGCCTATTACCACCTTTGAAGAAACATTGGTAAAACTTATTAGAGAGCTATGAATTAGTGATTCTGCTTAGGCAGAACGGTTTCATCCCTTACTCATTAATTCCCAAGTTAATTCAAGCATCCTGTTTTGTTTTGTTTTCTTTTTTAAAGATTTATTTATACAAGAACCTGGATACAGGCCAGATGTGCAGGTGAGAGGATTCACCAGAGACAGAGTGGGTAACAGAACAGGCACAATGACCGAAATACACTGCTGAGGGGAGCAGCGGGCGAGACAGGAGAGGTCTGCCGAGCCATGTGGGATGCTCCTCGGCCGGCGGGGATCTAACAGGCACTGCAGAGGCTGCGGACAGCTTCACAGCGTTTTGCTCAACCGCCTGCGCCACCAGGGAGGCTCAAGCATCCTCTTGGCCAAGCGGGGTTCTGACTTTTCATGAATAAGAGAAAGCAAAAGCACAGGCCTCCTCCTGGGTTTGAAGGCCCCCCACCGGCCCCGCATACTACTCTCCCCAATCAAAACAGACTGACACCCTTGTCAGGACACACTTCAGTTGAATACATGCCAGGCAGAGAAGTACAAGCAGGTCTCCACTAGGTGGCTCTCCAGGGCCAATGTCATTCTGCCATTCCTCTGAAGACCTATACTGACACCCTCCAATCCTGCTTTGCATGTGCTAAGAGTCACACAACCTCCCTAGTCCCTGTCAGGTATTTTATTCTGTGCTTTGAAAATTTGAAGAAACTTCCATAAGTCTACAGACTCAGGATAAGAGGCCAGTATGTGTCATGCGTCCATCCCCACCTGCAACAAACTCGCTTAATCCAATCACTGAAGATAAAGGGTTTTTTTATTACGTGGCATGTTTGTATTACCAGAAGAACCAAATCAGATTTATAAGTTGCCACACAGCATTGTGGGTGTGGTGCATTAGGCACTCCAAAAATTCTGGATGTTTCTAAGGATGCTTGTACTTAGCTGGCAGTTACCCATCTCTGGCAAGGGCAGATTCTGCCCAGCTGTTTGGTCAACATCCCTCCACACCTTTTGCTGACTCATAAAAAAGCACATCAGGTGTCGAGAATTTGTGACATGAATGTATCTACCTGGCGGTTCACAATTGTATCTGAGCGGACTTCCAAAGCACATCTATGAACATCAGGGAAAAGAGAATTTTTAAGAAATATCAGGCAGGACAGGGGTTTTTAATTTAAAACTAAAGTAAAATACCAAGCAAGCAAAGGAAAAATCAGGAGACAACATTCCAACAAGGAAGACTTTATTCCGTTTTCCCAGTAAGTCAATGGGGAACATTGCTGCTCAAAAGGTTACAGTTCAAATGATACCAGAGACAATTAGGATACACATTTTCAGAGATCAGCTTCCATATCTTGATCACTAAATGGAAAGATTCTTCAGAAGAACAGTCCCTTACCCTATATATAGAAGGAGAAGAAAAATTAAAGATGCCATGATGCTATCTACCAAAATAACTGGAAAACATTTAAAGAATAAATTTAGTGTACATTATTGACATGTAAGAAACACAAATGAATTTGTAGTGAGCTCTTATAAGGATACCCCATCTAGGAAAGTAAAGTTCCTGTGCCATATTTGCATGAACTAGGACACTGTGGAGAGAGCACCTTATGAAGCCCAATTTCCAGTGAATGGAAGGAAATTACGGATCTGAGTATCGAGCTTCCTCCCTATCACCAGCATTGACAAGGGCATTCCCAAATGCCTGGCCTAAGTTTTAAGTTCTATGAATTCCTTTATCTCGCTTCAGAGATTTTATATTTATCTAGCCCTTAGCCAACTGGAATTCTACTTACAGGAGTACAGGTAAAGCATAGAAGGAATGCAAATATGGGACAAATCTGAAAATAATACATGTCATTACTTCTATTCACATATTTTATAAAACAGTATATAAAAATTTTTCATACGGTTAAATGCCCTGTGTATTTTGTTTTTGTTAGGGGGATAAATGGTAACCATAATGGGAAAAGGTAAAAATTATATTGTTTTAAAACAAAATTATTTTGCGATAGTAGAATGGAACGAGAAAGAGAAGCATTAGGGGAAAGAAGTAGGATGCTACTCATGAGGGTTTGAAGGTGAATACAAATACTAGGAGGGTCTTAAGATCTCTATCATGACGTTTCTTCCTGTCCAAACCTCAGAATTCTAACCTAATTTCTAACAACCTTCAGAAGCTCTACCTAAGGTGTATATGCTCTTAGATCTCAACTATTCCTCCAACTAAAAAAAGAACAACGACCTCTCTGAGGGCTATGTCTTAAGAAGTCTGAAGCCTGACAGCCACTCAATAACATTTTAGCCATCGGGTAAAATAAAGCAAAGACTTTATAATTGAGTTCAAATATTAGTTACCCTGAAACATGAATGCAGGTTTGAAACCTGAATGATTCATTACTAAACGACCTTATTTTAACAGAGGTCACAGAATTCCAAATTTGTCTTAGCAAAATCACAAACTTAATGTATATAAAGATTATGTCACATGAGTGATAACCTACAAGAGATCATCTCATTTCCCTTGAGAAGCAAAACTGACACTGGCTCAGAATAGTCTTTTAAAATCATGACGAGAGCATTGATTAGAAGTTACTGAAAGGTAAACTGGAAAACAGGGTATTAAAGAAACTGAATCATGAATGAACTTAAAATTCTTATAGGGTTCCTCTGCATATGTCAGCGATATGATGCCTAAAGCTGAGCTCACCTTTCGGGGGTCACTGCTCTTCTAGTAAATCTTAGCCACCCACTGTGACGAACCTGTGGGCAGGAGCTCCCAGCCAGCACCTTGGCACCACAGGCCCTGACCACTATACTACCTCAGGGAAGAGAGGAGGGCGGGCAGGAAACATGATAAACAAGCACTTTACAGATGACACCACAAGAGCACAGCTATTCTAAATCAAACATTAATGAAACCCAAATCATAATGCTGAAAACCAAAAAATTAGACAAAAATGGAAGATTCTTTTTTTTTTTTAATCTTTTATAGGACAGAAACCTTAGCTCATGTCTTCTGGTTGTCATCATCTTCCACTGAGCTGCACCTAAAACACAAAGAACAAGTAACAAGCAACTTTGTTTTTTAAAAGAATATATAAAAGCTCTGAAGGCATAAGATGAACTGTTTTCTAGTGGAAGTTATCTTAATTAAATCATTCTATTCAATGAAACTATGAAAATCACCAGAGGCATCAAAACATTAACTAGTTTGAGTGAAAAGCACTACAAAAGACATGAATATGCAGCATACTATCACCCAAATAAAGTACATAATGGTGGGAAAGTCACTACCCATTTCATTAAGGCAGAGAAGGTGCATGCGTGAGGCCTTGTTTTAAAAGGCTTCACTTCACTCTACCTGAAGATGAAAACCACCTTGGCTTATTTTAGTAAGTCTAAATCATGAAGAGACGGGGTGGAGACTCAAAGTTGGCTTATTATATCATCTATCACCTTCCTGGCTGTAGTTCATGTCTTTAAATGGAGCAAACCCCACCAGAAGAATGCTGCTATTCTGATTTTCCATTCTTGAGTGCACCAAAATGTGCACGTTTGTTGTAATTAGGTGCCTGGGTAAATAAAAAAATCCCATTTACCATTTAAAAAATATTATTTAACCCCCTAAAATCTGAGTATTTTCCACATTGCTCAGGGAGACAAGCATTAATCGTAGCGCCCAAACAGAAAAGATCACATACATTTCCGAAAAATCGCTTCTACCATGTTAAAAATACGAATTCCTTTGTGTGGTAAAACCGAGCGGATTTACATGACTTTGCTTTAAATCGTTGCTAAACGTTTATCTACACATGCTGTCAGAAATAACCTTGTTAAGAAGGTGAAGCTGGTGTCTCAGCAAATCAGACCCTGGGAGAAGGCGTCGCATGGCCTGTGCCCGCTTTCCTTTTCTCTTTCCGCACCATCAAAAGGAAAAGTGAGAAAATAGCAAAAACATTAGTTAAATCCTGAATCACACCCCGTAACCTACAGGAATTACCTCACTACACTGAACGCTGACAATACTTGCAGGGTTTTTGGACGAAGCAATTAGGATCCTAATCATTATTAACATGATAAAACTTTGGGCTAGGTTTACATCTTCTAACAAAAATTTAAAGACTTAAAGGGAGAAATGAAAAGTTGCTTTTAACTATTTATGGTTTACCTGACTTACCAGCACTGAAGACAAAAACTTTTAAAAATGGCTACAAATGCCTGGTTCACAAAAGACTTTATTATCTAGCGATGCATACTTAGAACATACAGGATCTGCATGGCCCACTTCACATGCAGTAGAACAATCTTCACTTTACAATAAGTGAGTGTCAACTGTTTTATGCAATAGACAACACTTTAAAGTCACATTCTTAAAGAAAAGCTTCATTTACAAAAGAAATAAAAGGTAAAGAAGCAATTACCGCTTTTAAAAAGCAGCTGCTTTGTTCAAGAGTAGAAGGGTTACGCCTGTATTGAAAGACAACATGATCACAAATAATGAAAACAATGAACAAATGAAAACACTTTTACCATAAAGCATTACACTTTCAAAATGACATACAAATAGTTAAAAATTTCATTATGTTGTCTATCTAACTTTTAAATATGAGGACTTTCAGAATTAGGCCTCAACATTTGTCATCAGTAAATGAAAACTACGCAGTTTCTATTACTAAGGAACTGTATTTAACAAAATGTATATAAAGTCTATAGCAAGTTGATTTAAAAAAAATTAAGTTAGTAAGAAACAGTACACTGAAGGCGCTCTATCCATCAAGCGCATACTCGTCCAATTTTAAATGTGATGAACAGAACAGAAATTGTAACTATGCCACAGTCGCAATGCCAAAAATAAAACAAGATCAATTATCACACATGCAGGGAATTCTGCCACAAAGCTAATATCCCTCATTTGTCAATTGTTCCAATAAAATAACATCTTAAAACACCGTGATGTTGATGGGTTAGCTTACCTTCAGTGTACTGAATGTTGTACACAACCTGCTTTAAAAGAGGAGACCATCCCTGCAGGCAGGCTCAAGAAGGAACAGACCCCTTTCGGCACTGACTACACCAAGGGCATGCTGCTGTGGCCTGCACACACACACCTAGGAAAACGTGAATATAAACAGCATTTATGCTGGCCATTTTCTGTGAAGACCAAAATGAAGCCAAGTCTGCTAAGAATAAATCAACCGCCCAGTATTACTACTCGTTTCAGAACAGGTGCTTTTGTCTTTTATGTGAACTGCAACCATATACATTAGCACTGTAATTTTGTGCAGTCTTGGCAATTAAAACAATTCTACAGTAAAACTTCACATAAGACACAAAACAGATTAACTAACATTTCTAAAAGAAATATGACCCTTGATGTTAATTCAAATATATCATGCTTTCTCAAATTTGCTGGAGAAATATTTATAAGTTTATATACATTAATAAACTGCTGTGAAATTTCTTCAGTCTTTGTATCTAATTACTCAAACCCTTGGAGCTTCTTCATCTCGTTTAAATTTTTTCCTGGATGAAGGCATGCTGAAGGGCCTGGTTGATGCTAATCCGTTTAGCTGGGTCCAACATCAGGATCTGGTCCAACAAGTCCTTTAGCTGGTGTACTTTTTTGCGCTGGTCTTCAGGAAGTCGCTGGCACCCAATCAAGTCAGCCAGCAGGTCCTTAGTTGGATTAATGGTGCTCATGACAGTAACCTTCTCCTAAAAATGATTTTAAAATTGCATATCTCTAAATAAGTTACTAGACATATGTAACCAAAATCAGACTGTGTTCTGTCTATCAAAAAATTTTAATATTAGTATATCATCTTAAGCAGCAGTCAAAAATTGAAAAAGGTCAACCCCAAGTTAGCTAAGATAGCATTCCTAAAAATCACTGCAATTTAATTTTGTTACAACTTCAAAATGACAACAGAAAGGAGTTGACAATTCAAAAACACTGTTAAGCAATTAAAAAATTAACAGTGCACCTGCTTTTTGCAGTGTCACCCCCTATCCTGCAGAGGTGACAAAGACATGGATGAGCCGATGCCATGAAGTGTCACCTGGGGCTCTGCCAGGCACACACAATATAATGGAGGTTGTAGAAAGGCACTTCCAGAACACCGATTTCAGCAGAGGTTTGAAGGTGAGTACATTTTTTAGGGGATAAGTACAGAAGCAAATAAGCTCAGGTTGGGCACTGAGCAAAGGCACAGGGTTAGTCTAACAAAGCCCTAAGCTGGCTGCCAAGTATGGGAAGGCAGGGCTCGCGGGGCCAGGTGCAGCAGGGAAGCATGGACAATGACAGAGTTCTTAGCATAGACTTACATAAGTTTTCTCAGGTAATAGGGAGACAAGGAGTTTTTAACCAGGGACAGTAACATGATCAATTTAATTTTAAAAATATCACTCTGGCCAGGACCCAGACTGGCCTGGACCCAGACTAAGAAAGTGAGCTTAAGGAGAGACGAAGAGGGCCTAAATATGACCTACATTAAAAAACAATTTATGGCACTGGACAAACTTCTAATAATCTCACTGACTTTTTCATGTTTTATTGAGGAAGTGGCCAACAGCAAAAACAAATTATAGAGTTTCAAAACCCTCAGAGCTTCCAGTACCACCTAGAACTCAATCAGCCACAGTAACACAGTAACATAGCGTGCTTAAAGGAGACTTACCCTCTCTGTTACTTTATCAACTTCTATGTACATGAAATTGAGATTTTGATCAAAATGCTGGTCTTTGAATACACCTTTCCGAATCATCTGGTACCCAAAACAAACACAAACAGTTTAGCTTACTAACAATTTAATACATAACAAACCACTCAAGTATCAGTTTCTCGGGCTTTTTCATTTGAAATGTTCTGATTCCTTGCTTTTCAGAGACTTCTTTGGACAAGCTAATACAAATGCTATAAACTAAAACTGCATTTTTCCAGGCAATGACATAAACCACTTGTAAGTTAATGCCAAAGCCACTTATCAAGTTGTGCTGTCACTACTCAAATTGGGGAATTAAGCAGACTTAAACACCACTTGTTCTTAAGAATAAGTACTGCAAAAATGGGGTCTTTTTTCTCTTGGCAGTTAAGAAAACAAACGAATGACATTTTACAAATTATGTTTCAATATCCCTAATTACAGTCCAACATCCCTAATGATACAGGTCGGACTTCACAAAAAAACAAAACAAAACAAAAAAACCCCAACTTCTTGAATGTTGTCAACAGGTTCTTCGAAATTAACAAAAGCAGACCCTTGAATAACGTCATTTGGTGCAATGTTGGTCAGTGTTTATTTTTTTCCCCCTCAATGTGATATCTAAGTGTTTTTCTTCGATGCTTTGTCAACACAGCTAATTTTGGTGCAAATTATTCAAAACAAGTCCAACGTACCAGGGTTTGCAGTACCAAAAAATCATAACAGTTTCTGACCCACAGGTAGAACAACTGATAAACCTCTTAGAAATTCAGGAAATAAGCTGGAATTGTAAAAAGCTTAAGATAAGGTAGGTCAGGCATATCTTATAAATGCCTAACAAGTCTTGCTTCACGTTCATCAGAAAGAATTACAATGGCTGAAGCATAATAGGTGAGTTTTATGTTACAAAGATAATATTTTTGGTGAATTTTCTTGGTACTGCCCTTTCCCAAGTAACTTCCAATCTTAAATAAACTGATTGTTGCCATCTTCCCTCTTCTTCTAGGATTCACTCATTTGTTCTGGCCACTGACCCCTTTCTCACACCTAACCAACGTGACTCATATCCTTTCATTCCAGCTCTCAAGCAGGCTTGATGCCGTGACCAACAAGAGCGTGCCTCTAGGCACACTGCTGCTGTTCTGCCCATCCCTGAAGGACAACACCGGAACAAGGCGAGCAGAGAGAAGAGAGCCATATGTATGTGTGCTTAACAAAAGCACACTCACAAAGTCTCAAAATCCTCCCCCATTCCAATTTTGCCATAAACCATAGGTCCCCACCCTCCTTCTACTAAATTTAAGGGTCTGAAAAAGCAAACTTTAGAGGGGAAATGGACAAGGATCTCTTATTCTCGTTTGACCGTCCTTGACTGAGTAAAATCACTCACTTATCCACCAGAACAGCACAGCAGCCATGGACCTGTCTGTCTCTAACGGTGCAATAGCAACCAGGGACAAGGTCAGCAATCCAGTGATTTATAGGAAATCATCACCAAGACCTTGAAAATGCTAGTTCAAAGTGATGTCTTACCTTATTTGGCATCTTTCCTTTGAGATCCATGGCGAGCTTCAACATATGGTTATTGGTTTTGCCAGGAAATAAAATTTTTCCAGTATAGAGTTCATATAAGGTACAACCTACAGACCACATATCTATACCATAATCATAGCTTTTACCTATAACTGAAGACAAAATGGAAGCTTTAATATGTGATGATGATAAAGACTACTATTTATTTCCATTAATGGGAGATTAATTTAGCACATACATAAAACCACAATCCCAATACCTCACTTTGCATTAGCTTCATGTTCTTTCCCACCAATGCTTAGAGACTCTTAAACTTAAAAGCCTTTAAAAAATGACGGACTTGGGGACAAGTTAAGAAGGGCAATGTGTATTTCTTCTCTTTTCATTTCACATCTGGTGGAGGGTCTGGCTGAGGCTAATCGGCCTCAACCAAGGCAACAGGATGAGAAGAGACAAAGGTTCCACACTATTCATAATTTGATTATCAGACCTTTGGTAATCAAGAGCAGTCTTCTAAAGTCGAGGATTTTCCACAATTGCTTTGCTACTCTTGCCAGACACGAACAAGACTCCTGCCACAACTACCGTCATTCCACCTGAGGAGGATGAACTTGCTATGGTTCCTTCCTCATGAATGACCTCACGCAGCTGCTGAGGTGCGACGGAAACAGTACTGACATCCATGTGCTGTTCCCATCGCACGTGATGGCCCAGGTCAAAGAACATCTGAAGAAACTTACTGATCTCAGGAGCACGGTAAAATCTACTGACAAGATAAGGTGTTATGTCATTATCCGCCACATGTGAAGCCGACCCAAAATCGCAGAGCTTTAAAATAGTTTTTGATTCATTAACCTGCAAAACATTTATCACAGAAGTTTAATTCATGCCAACCAAATGAAGACAAACAAAAACTGACTGAGAAGTTATTTTCAATCTTTGAGAACAAAGTTGTTCATTTAAAAAATCCCTTTTCTCTTTATAATTCAATTTCTTATGGAAAATTAAAAACTACCAAATATTTGTTTGTAATTAGTAAGACAACACTAATCAGTGAGGAAATATGGGATAATACCAAGTAAAGTCAATTTTAGCCAACAGCAATTAAAAAGGGGTGGGACAAAAAAATCTCATTGAAGCAAAGTATCTCCTAGAAGTCCCCCAGAACGTGAAGTTATACTTTAGAGGAACATGAACATTCATTAATAAGGGATCAGACTTAGATTAACTTTTGACTGACTTAAGCTAACTTTCAGTTGCCAGAAAACTACGACGGCAGTGAAAGTAGGACCATTCAATTTTTATAAAAAGAGAAAAAAAATTCTTCATCCGAAGCTGCTAGACTATCCCAGCTTTAGCAATCACTTCAATTCTAAGAACATTAAATTCCTTAAATACAAAGAAGGTATTAGTCAAGAAAATGTTAAATACATTTGGCAAAACTGATAAACATGAACTCCGTATTAGTCATTGGTTTCTTTTTTCCTTTGTAAATACTTCAACATACACAGTAACAGTGACATCTGCTGAGAAAGGCTGGAGGTGCTCCCAAGACTGCTGGCACTCATGAGTCAGAAGCATGTGCAGGATTAACAAGTGAAGATAATTCACAATCCAGAGTCCCTTCCCCCCTTTAAAAGAGACACACACAAATTCCGAGTTGGGACTTGAACTTGGCCTACCGTTCCCACCCCAAAGAAACATAACACTTTAAATAAATAGTCCTAGGTGCTCTCTACTGGGACTTCATAAAGTTTCATCAGTATTAAAAACTGGGCCGTACAGCTGGTGTCACAGAATTAAAACCAATTATAGAAATGATAATTTTTAACTGCCACATCCATAACCATTCTCTTCATCTGGGGGAATGAGGAAAACAGGCATCTTCAAATAGCAAAGGATTTTAAAAGTGTTTTAAAGAATGAACTGCATTCAGCTACTTAAGAATGCAGTTTTGCTACCCAGAGAAAACCCCAGGACCATTTAAAATCAGGCTCTACCAGTGGAAATCTTGGGCTGGCTGAAAAGCCTTACATAACACAGGGTACCCACACTCACGTGCACGTCAGTTTGGCTACACAACTTCTACTCCCCCAGGGGGAATGTGGCACTTCTACCACACTGCTGCTGAAATCACGGGCTAAAAGCTTTGCATTAGAAGCTCCGTGTGGTGGTCTCTGAAATCCACGTGAAAGTCTGTACTAGCTGGGCACTAACTCAAAGAAAAATGAAGTTTTAAAAACAAGAGCTTCTAAGGTATTGGCAATGTATTACTCTTTAATCTTCATGGTGGTCACACAGATGTTTGCCGTATAAGCACCTCTGAATTGTACATATTCTATACATTCTTTGATAGGGACAGTATATTCAGTTTACAACAGAGCAAGGAAAAAACTGAGGAAAAATCAACTATAAAGTTGACCAGGTAAGTCTGTGACTCATTCATAATGTACCTACCATTTCACTGTAATAACTCAGCTCCTCCAACCCCAAGTTATATTAGATATTCAATATATATAAGTCAGAGCAAACATCAAAAAGGAATGCCTCATTATTGTGGCAGTCGGAAGGAAATATTTTCAGATATTACAAAAGAAAAAGGGGGAAATCTAAATGAAGAACTAGGTTAAGGGGCACTTAGCAAACCTGAGTCAATCACAAACTTTACATAAAGTGTGGAAGCGTCATTGGCAGATGAGGCAGGAATTCCCTGACATATTCCCCAGCTATCAACGCCACAGAACAGAGAGGAGACATGGTCAGGGCAGAAGTGTATGCGCACTAATTGCTCCACTTTGATGACACCGTTTCCAAAATTCAAAAACATTTGACCACAGTGAATCTGCTCATCATCACACAAGAAGCTGTTAGTTAGGAGAGGTCAAGACTGAAAGGACACCTTTCCCTACAGCACCCTAACCACAAGAGAGCTTACTGTTTGGGTCCCCAGGTGCCACTGCTTTGAAAGCGATAAGGAAATATGAATGACTCTTGGGCACCTTTGAGCTCAAAGCCATACATCTGCTTACAAGAGTGTAATAATTCCCTTAAATGTCCCTACCTCCATTAGTCTACATACACTCACGGAAGTGTGAACACTCCTTTCATATTTCCAAGCAGCAACACATGCAGCATTTGTTAGACACCAGAGGAAGCACATTATTACGTTAAAGCACTCTTAGGATTTGTGTGTACTCTAAATTTATAAAGAGGAAAAATTGGGAGAGCAGCCTGTTTCTTTTCTTTTTTAAAAAAGATCTATTTATTTATGCATACAAGAACTGGGGTACTGGCCAGAGATGTGAGGATTCACCAGAAACAGAATGGGGGACAGAACAGACAGAATGACTGAAATACACTATTGAGGGGAGCAGCGGGCGAGCCAGGAGAGATCTGCTGCGCCATGTGGGTAGCTCCCTGGCCAGGGATCGAACTCATACTTCAGTGGCTGCGGATAGCTTCATAGGTTGCGTCTCAACCCCGTGCGCCACCAGGGAAGCCCCTGTTTTTTCTTTCTTTATACTTTTCTATAAATTTTCATGACCCAATTTCCAAAAAAAGTAAATCTTAAAATTATTGGTAATGGGAAATTAGTACAGTGAATTATTCTTCTAAGGTGTCATTTGTGAACTCCAAGGTAATCATATTACTAGTGAGAATATACATGGAGTATAAGGCAGCCTGACTGTTTGACTTACCAGGATATTGTCTGGCTTGATGTCCGCATGTAGGATGTTACATCTTTTAAGGAGTTTCAATGCCAAGAACAACTGCTGACTATAGGATCTTACAGCTTTAATATGAAGACCAACATCTTTACCATATTTTTTTAACACCTCTCGTAAATTCATACTTTTAAGAGAAAAAAAAAAAAACAACCAAAAACAAAATTAGGGGTTAAAATGCAAAGTGAAATAAAAAAGGTAAAAAAATTTTTTAAGCATAAAGTAAAATCAAGATCCAAATACAAATTAAAATGAAAATATTCTGTTCAAGAACTGCCCCTCCAAACATCTGAGAAGTAATTCTACATTGAAATGAGAGCCTATGAAACTTTGTACACACAACCTAATTTTCCACCTACATCAATTTTCAAAATACAGATAGGCACTGGTTTTAGAATGGGTTTACATTTGTTGGCCTGACAATCAAGCCATACTTTTGATGATCAAAATCATAATTTCTACTCCACTAACCCATTTCTTTTCATTTTGGCTTAATATATAATTTTCAGAAACCTCCACTGAGGTGAAAGTTACATGAGATTCATGTCCAGGAGTACAGAATTTATGTTTGTACACTAGTGACAGTTAAATTCCAGTTAAAAACACTTGTCTCTAACCAAAACAAAGACTGAGGCTGAACTGGGGAAAAAATACCCCAGAAAACCTGTCATGGCTTTTTCTAAAATTAGGCTAAGAAAGAGAATTTTTCAGTTTAATTCACAGGTTTTGACACTGTACCTGAGAGGCTCAAATACGAGACAGAGGTGCTGCTTGTGATAAAAGTGTCTGAAGAGTCGTAAACAATGAAATTTGTCATCAGGATCAGCATCATTAAGTTTTTTCAAGAATTCTAGTTCCTTTAAACCAGTTTTTTGCCTAAAGTGAAAAAGAAAAGCAGGTCAACTTTGAATACATGCAGTATTTAGGAAAATTATTTGCTAGTCCCAGTCTGATGCAGAGCATGTATTTTGTTACGTACTCATAAATCTGTTGAGGAATGACAAGACCCTGTCATTTACATCATTTCATACTTAGCCAAAATAATCAAATGAACAAAACAGAAATAATGAGGGAAAGACCCACCTTGTCTGAAGTGAAATTTATCTTGCATTTATTACAAAATGTCTTGCTATAAAGAAATATTACTTTTAACAACAATGGAATTATACTGTGTACAAATCTTGGTTACTGTAAAAGTCAAACAATGAATGTCTTACCAAATAGTAATATTTAGTTGTCCTTTGAAATTGGAGCTGTGACTTGTCAGTAAGCTACATTTTAAAGTCAATGTCTCTAATAGAGAAATTAGGAATTGCCACCAATAAAAACAAGCATTCTAAGCCTCTGGCAGTCTAAGTGCTTAGTATCAATCCACACACCACTTTTCAGTGTTTTAAAAACCAATGATAAGATGAGGAGTCTAACACTGGCTCAGTGTGATAATCATTATGTATTAAAATATATGTATAACAATTACTTCTAACAAAGGCAACACAGAAGATGTAAATAATTCCCAGAATTACGTAAGAGGTAAGTTTTCACTTTCTGTGGCCACCAGGTGCTTGGTAACAGAGTCAATATGAGCCTTTCATCTCTCACCTCTAGTCTTGAGTTTAAGGGTCACAGCAAAAGGTGGCCATGAGACCAGCAGCAGGAGGACTTTAGGCTGATTAGTGCACACAGTAGGTACTGAAAGGAGTTAAATACAATCAGCCTAATACTTCATATAAATACATCTCTATAAATTAAAAATCCTGTCAAAAAAGAACTGCTTCTCTTGTTTCGTATCCACGATACTTGCTTCACATATATTGTTAAGACTTTTTTAAATGCCATTTGAACATGTTCACTTGGGCTTCATGTTATCCAAGGTCTCGCCGCACATGCTCTGAACTTACATGAGTTCGTTGTTTCTGATGATCTTTACGGCCACTTCCTGGTTGGCTCGTGCATTATCTCGGGCTCGCACCACATTACTGAACACACCCTGGCCGGTGTAGCCATACACATTGTAACGCTTGTCCAGGACTTCCCCTATGTTCACACCTAAAAAAAAAAAAAAAAAAAACCCAAAACATAATAAATACAATCAATTACTGAACAAAACTATAATCACACATACTCTTATTGAAAAGTAGGATTAAGCCTCCCCGGTGGCGCAGTGGTTGAGCACTGGGTTGCAAAGCTGCCCACGGCCTCTGCAGCCCCGGTTCGATCCCCGGCTGCAGAGGAGGAGGGTCCCACATGGCGCGCAGACCTCTCCTGCCGCCCGCTGCTCCCCTCAGCAGTGTACTTTGGTCCTTCTGCCTGCTCTGCTCCCTGCTCTGGTGAATTCTCTCACCCTCCCGCGCTTCTGACTGTACCCAGTGCTTGTATAAATAAATGAATAAATCTTAAAAAAAAAAAAAAAAAGGAAAAGAAAAGTAGCATTAAAAATTTTACAAATCTCTCCTGTATGCCAGGTGCTCTAGCCATCACAAGCAAGCAAGGGACCCTTTTCTTCTGAAGGATTATCTTATGACAGAAAATAGCCCAGAGCAGATTTACGTTGCACATTAAGTCACTTCAGTCAGAGATGCTTTGCTGCTCATGAGGCTACAAGCCAGTGTGGCAGCTGCTAGATGCTGCACCTCGATGCAACATGCTTTCAGAAATGTTACAATGAACTCTAAAATCAGCAAAACATGTGAACTTACGATAATAGCCTTCTGCATCAGTCCAGTTATCCCTGAGGTTGGGGTTCTCTTTGAAATCTTTCCCAATGCCAGCAGCCCGAAGACGAGCACTCTGAAATTAAGGAGGCAACATGAGCTAGGTCATCCTCTTGCCGGGGAGACATTTAAGAATTTCATTTTAGACAAAACGAGCAAACCAACTATCATTTAATAAAGACATTTTATGTCAAATTACACGAACTTACTATCACTTACGTAATGCAACAATGCACAGCTGAAACAGCTTGTCAAGTCTCTTGTATCACAACAATGCTCAAGGAAAAAATGAAAGTACATTCAAAAACTTTTAGGAACATGTCTAGAATACTGTAAATGACAATAACATCACCACCACATCCAATTCCCACAGCTATTTATAGGGAACAAAACTTACAGATAGGTTCTCAGTTAAGTCATTGTCCCACTCTCTCATACCAACTTTAATGTTCTCATTTCCCCCCCACCCCCAAGAAAAGGCACTGATAAAACTAAGAAAAGGTTAAAGAATCAAAATTTCCAACCCCACTTCTGGGAATTATTGGTGACACCTTGTCTCTGATGACATAACTACATTTACATGTTTGTAAATGTAAGAAAAAAGATGTTTCAAGAGTGACTACATGTTCAAGTCATTTGGTATTTAACTTTTGTTTCTATTTTAATTTTTGACTTAATTCAGACAAATAAGGAAGACTTAAAGAGAAAAATTGCAAAATGTGTAGTTTCCTGATACCCCTTACCTAGATGGTCCAAATCTCAACATTACACTTGCTTTATGTCTTTTCTCTATATGTATATACACATGAATATTTACTTGTTATACATTCTTTTTAATAGTTGTGTTTTGAATGACTTGAAATTACTTACATCAAAATATGCAGCAAACATATCATCAGACTCTGTAAACATATCAGGTGCCAACAGCTTCTTCTGAGATGAACCTTAATGGAAATTAACATTAATATTTAAAAAATGAAGAGCTAGCAAGTCAAACAAGTAATAAGTTAATGGAAAACCACTAACAGCAACGCAAAACTTTTTGCATCAGTTTTTCATTAATACTCAACTCACAAAAGGCTTATATCTCGCTGCAGATAAGCAAAGATCTATCTCTACATATACTTCTCCAAAGTCTAATAATAACCCCAAGGAAACTGAGCAAAAATTTGGGGAAGAGGCATTTCAGGGGCAAAATGCAATGGTTTTAGCATATGCACTTGCGCAATCTCACATACACTAAAGGGAAGCACAAGTTAAAGTGACAATGAGATACCATTTCTCGCCCATGATACTGGTTTAAAAATTCAGAAGTATAACAACATTCTGTTAACAAGGCCCTGGATAAGCAAGAACTCAAGACAATGCTTGCAGGATGGAAATTTGTATGATCCTTATAAAGAGAAATTTTACAATAAATATCAAATTGCATACTCATTCACGTTCTGACTCAGCAGTCTCACTGCTGGGAAACTGTCCCAAAGACGGTGGCAAGCATAAAACAATGAATTAATGCACAACATACTATAATCAGTGCTCCAATGAACAGCCCTCAAGTGGACACAATCTAAATAACCACCGTTAAATGACGGTGACTGAGTAACCAGGACACATCTGTCACATTGTGATGTTGCAGTTGTAAAAGGGAATGAAATTTTTTCATACAGATGTGTGTATGTAGGTTAAGATACAAAGACAGAGATTTTTTAATAAAAAACACCCAAACTCAACTAACAGTCAAAACCAAACGGAAATAAACCTATCAAACTGGTGCTCTAACCACAAAGACAATTAATTTTTTCAAATTACTTTAAACTCGGACTTGGGGCTATACATTTCAGAATTTATCCCAGGGAGAAAGGAACACTGCACTTTCAAATTGCATTCAATACACTAAATCTCGATAATTATGTTGGTAACTATGTGGCTAACATTTCAAAATAACCCACGGATAATCATGTCAGCTGGAGCCAACTTTTTCATTATAAAGAGATAACAAAGTCAAAAGTTAGCAAAACTCTATAACCTCAAAGACAACTTGGCAGTGTCAGCATGAACACTAGCTTTCTAAAAATCTATGAACTTCCTAGTTTTCTTTCTTCACCAAAAAAGTAACAGGGCCTGCGATGTCTAATGGCATTTCCCACTACATGAACCAAGGTTTCTCCCACCAACAGCTATTCTGTTCTGGGGAAAGACACACGAGTGAGTCTGAAGAGCCAGTGTTAGAACAGGATTCAGTGAACTACAGACTGGGCAACACCTAGCCCCTTGCTTGGTTTTGTATGGCTCATTTTTAAAGGTTTGAGGAAAAATGTGAAGAATATTTTTGACATGTGAGGATTAAAGAAACATCAAATTTTGGTTTCCATAGCTTTTTTTGGGGGGTGGGGGGGTGGGGTGGTGGTGGTGGCACCATTCTCGTGTATTCATGCTGGCTGTGGCTGCTCTGACCACAGTAACAGAGTTCAGTAACAAAGGAAGGAAAAGTCTAAAATTATTATGAAAACTATCTGACATTTTACAGAAAGTAAATAAATGCCATTAAGATTTGGGACAAAGACATTAGAAACGAACTTCAAAGGTCTCTCTTCCCACCTCAGGTGAGAGAGAACTTATCTGAGCTTCAAAAAGAAAAACGAGTGCCTCCCTGGTGGTGCAGGGGCTAAAGTCTCAGCACTATCAAGCAATCACCAGCCACTGTAGCCCCACTTTGATTGCTGGCCAGGGAGCTGACTCACATGGCACAGCAGACCTCTCCTCTCTTGCCCACTGCTCCCCTCAGCAGTGTATTTCAGTAGATCTGCCTGTTCTGCTCCCTACTCTTGTCTCTGGTGAATCCTTTCACCCGCCCCCCCCCACCTCTGTCCTACACCCCAGTTCTTATATGCATAAATAAAAATAAATCTTTAAAAAAAACTCCACAAATAAAACAAAAGGTAATGAACATGTGAGACTAAGTATGTTGTCCAGGTCACGTGCATGAACATTCACTGGGGCACTTGTTATTACATTACTCCAATGTCCAGTAGACAAAACATTCCTAACCCCTTTCATTTTTCAACAATCTCAAAATAATCTGAATGTTACATTACAGAGCAAACTGAAAGAAGACCATGGCCAAAACAAAAATCTAACATACCATTATTCTGTTCGACGGTCATTAGATTATGCTTGGCTTTTACTGAGGCCTCAAATGTATCGACATTTTCCCGTTCATACTCTTTGACATCAGCAGCCACCCTTTCCAGAATGTCATCTGGAGAAGGTGACCGTGTACGAGTACTGCTCTGGGGGCTGCTTGGCTCAGACGGCACAGACATATTGCTATCTTCAGCAAGGTACTTATATTTCTGTAATAACAATACAACATGTTATTTTTGTAAAATCTGATGTTCTCTGAATATTATTTGCTAAGAGATGCTGAACTGAAAAGTGAAGGGCCAAATGTTAAAAATGTTTTAAAGATATCAATGCCTTGGTTGAATCAGATCCACAATCCCTTTATAATTCCAAAATCCACAAGATGCTGAAAAAGCTCTTCTGTGTTTGGTGCACATCTCTCAGCAGATGTGATGCTATGTATGCGCGCATCTGTCCCCCAGTGTAACAGAGCATGCCTCACTGCCGACATAGACGTGTTGCCTGATGATGGGTGCTGTCCTAGACCCCAGGGATGGGGCTACAAAATATACAGAGATGCACCATATTTATTACCTTTCTAAATTTCAAATATTTCTGAGTTCTGAAGCACATCTGGCCCCAAAGGATGGAGATAAGGGATTGTGGACCTGGGCAAGAACAAAAAAAGATTCAACCATGTCTTTAGAAGTACATTTTAACAACATCAATTTTATAAATGCCTCGGAAAAGTAGGTTTCCTCTGGAAGTCCAATTTTGCCTTACATACCCTGGTGATTCAAGTTCTGTCCTGCGCTTTGATATGTACGGTTAGGTGAGCTGCTGCAGCAAATGATGGCAAGAAAAGGCACGTTACAGGGACTGCTACCCAAGAGGATCTAGTGGCCATGGCTTTCCTCAGGCTGGCTGAGGGGAAAAAAACAGCCCTCTCCCAAGGCAATAATCCTCATTACTAAATAACCACTGTATCAAGACTTGCATGTAACATCCTTTATCCCCCCAATTTTCTAATTATTTTTGAGATATCCATTTAAACAGGACATCATAAAATTTATCATTATTTATTAGACATCAACTTTTTTTTCATAGTTACAGGCAAAATCTTTTTGCTACACAAAATCCCTCAAATATTTATTTCATATTCATTTCTTGTTCATTAACTTAAAATAAATGAACTTCAAATTTCTGTCTCACAGGTGTTTATATCAGAATCCTATGTATAACAAAAACAGCAATCATTTTAACTTTATTAACTGAAGAAATTATTATCTTTTCAAATATCACAAATAGTTTTATATACTCTTCTTTTTTCCAAGACCATTCAAACTGTATTTTATCAAAACGCTGATTAAGAGGACTGATGCAAATTTTACATTTCATACCTGAACAATTGCCTGCCGCTGTATTCTCCTCTGTTCTATCAGGGCCTCTTCATCTTCTTCCTCTACATCAAAGTCTTCAAGGCTTAAAAAACATTACAGAGAGAATGAATTTCAAACATGCCTAGAGATTCCAAACTCTCAATTTATACATTTTAAAATTAACTAAATAATGTAGATCATCAGTAACTTTGGGCAGAAGTCTTAAGACATCGTATGCCCTTTATCCTTGCTTCTACACAGTCTCAGTTGCCTGGCTTGGCAAGTAACTAAACCTCTGTCTGTTTTTCCCTCATGTGTTTCCTGGCACTAAGATGGGAAGAAAGGGGAGATCCCCAGTCCCCACTGGCTCTGCCTTGTGTTAGTAAGCTTATTTCACTGCTCTAGTCTCAGTCCTTGTGCCTATAAACAAGAGGGCCAGAATAGAGATAGTCCCTTTTCTGGATCACAGATCCCTCAGAAAGCTAAAGGTCCTTTCCCCAGCAAACATGTGCATACGTGATCTAAAGAGAATGCACCCCAACCTGTAAAAACTTTCCTCCTGTCCCCAAATGTCCCATGGAGGGGGGCCTCCCTGGTGGCCTAGGGGGTTAGTCTCAGAATTATCACTCCTATGGTCTGAATTTGATGTACGGTCAGGGAGTGGACCCACATATGGCGCAGCAGACTTATGTCTCTCTCCTCAGCAGTGGATTTCAGTAAATCCGCCTGTTCTGCTGTCTCTAGTGAATCCTCTCACCATCTTGCACCTCTGGCCTGCACCCCTGTTCTATGCGTAAGTAAAAAAATCTTAAACAAACATGTCCCGTAAGAACTCCTCTACAACCTGAGACCCTTCCCAGCACAGCCTTCTCTATGATCTGCTCAATGTTCACTGCAGAGGATAGGCAAACTGCACTCTGAAAGCTATCAGGATCTGCCTAAAACCCTTCGTCCCCCCACAGCCACTTAGCTTTCTTAGCCCAAGGCTGACCAGCAATTCTCAACCTCAGCACTGGTGGTGAAACTTTATACCATAGAGCTGCAAGGTGGGAGTCATCCTGTGCACTGAGCCATGCTGTACAGTGCCCTGGCCTATGGCCCCGATGACTCTCCAAAGTGTCTTCAGACCTTGCCAACATGTCTCTGATGAGGCAAACCACTGCCCAGGTGAGAACAACTGCTCTAAATTATTTTAGAGATATTCCTTTTACAAAATAAGTTTGCATTATAAAAAGTCCCCCCCCCCTTTTCTAGACACTTTAGTATTTCTGTATTTTTCATTTTGAACAGGCATACTGGCCACCAGATGGCCTTAAATGGAAAGTACTATCTTACACAAACTGAGAAAGTCTAATTGTAGTGCAGAAATTACCTCCCTGTCCCAGTTGACTAATGTATTTGCTATTCCTAACAAAAATGAAGGAAAGGCGGACCTCCCTGGTGGGGCAGGCAGTTGAGCGTCACACTGTGAAGCTGTCTGCAGCCTCTGCAGCATGGGTTTGATCCCGGCCGGACAGCGGGAATCCCACATGGCGCAGCAGACCTCTCCTGTCGCACCCACTGCTCCCCTCAGCAGTGCATTTCATCAGTCTGCCTTTTCTGTTCCCCGCTCTGTCTCTGGTGAATCCTCTCACCCTCCCGCGCATCTGGCCTATCCCCCAGTTCTTGTATAAATAAATAAAATCTTTAAAAAAAAAAAAAAAGAAAAGACTTATGGTAAGATTAATGACCCAATATTCATTTCAGCCAAATCGGACACCTGTAAAACTAGAAAACCACTACCTGCTATATAACCTCTAAAACATACACAAAAAGCTTAAATCTTTGGGCCTCCCCGGTGGCGCAGCGGTTGAGCGCTGGGTTGTGAAGCTGCCCGCGGCCTCCGCGGCGCTGGTTCGATTCCCGGCTGCTCCCCGGCCACCAGAGGAGGGTCCCACATGGCGCGCAGACCTCCCCTGTGGAGGAGCGCCGGTTGAATCTCCGGTTGCTCCCTGGCCTGCAGAGGGACAAGTCGCAGACCTCTCCTGCGGAGGAGGGTCCTGCATGGCATGCTAGACCCCTCCTGCCGCCCGCTGCTCCCTGCAGCAGTGTGCTTTGCTCCCTCTGTCTGCTCTGTTCCCCGCTCTGGCTCTGGTGAATTCTCTCACCCTCCCGCACTTCTGACTGTACCCAGTGCTTGTATAAACAAAACAAACAAAAAAAGAAACAAACAAAAAAAAAACATGCCTCCATTTAAAAAAAAAAAAAAAGCTTAAATCTTTAAATTCAGGAAAAAAATTAATTGGCTCATTTATGACATGTAGATGGAAATTAAAGATATCCACATCAACCAGAGTCTCTCTAAAGCGGGATAAAGGAAATGACGGGCAAGGTTCATTCTTACTTATCATCAGATGAAGATTCCTGCTCAACTTTCATTCCTTCAGAAAGACTTCCTTTGAATTTGTCTTCCTTTACTTTACTTCTGCTCCTACGCCTACGACCACCCCGTGATCGAGACCGTCTTCTCAAGCGTGACCGGCTCCTCCGACCTCTGTCTCTGTATGAAGAGAAAAGGATATGTAAATATACAGACTTTTAAGGCAATTAAAATCTGAAAGTCTGTGGGTATATTGAAGGCAGAAGTATACAGGAGCTCTGTACATTTCAGAAGCTGTTTTGCCTCCAAACTGAAAGTGCTCTTAAAAAAAAAAAAAAAAAAAGTCTTCTTTGTTTTTTAAAGGGTCAAATAAAATCTTACAAAATAAAATAGAGGGGGCCTCCCCTGGTGGCGCAAACGGTTAAGCGTCAGCACTATGAAGCAATCCCGCAGCTACTGTAGCACGAGTTGGGTCCCCAGCCAGGGAGGTGACCCACATGGCACAGCAGACCTCTCCTGTCTCATCCACTGCTCCCCATAGCATCATTTCAGCAGATCTGCCTGTTCTGCTCCCCACTCTGTCTCTGGTGAATCCTCTTACCCCCTGTACCTCTGGCCTATACCCCAGCACTTGCATGCATAAATAAATCTTTTTAAAAAAGAGGATCAGAAAGACTAGGATAATGAGCTTATATTAGTATAATTCAAACACAGCTACTGTTCTTATCGACTGTAAAGGGCACCAATGACTGATTAATGTTAGTGTAAATGTATGTCAAAATTAAAAACTAACACCAAAGAGGGTAAATTATTTTATGTAAATAGTATATTAAAATACTATTTAAAAGATTTAAAAGACTGCTGATAATGAATGAGAAAGACAAATGAGACAAAAATTCTTGCTTAACATAGTCCTCAGAATTTTATAAATGCCTAAATGTTTTGTCTCATGTTAAATAAAAACTTACTGTAGTTCAAACATTAAAGCTGGAGTTTAAAAAAGATTGGCAAGGTCCCTGTTAATGTCACATCTGACCATATTTATCTCAGATTTCTTCTGAAACTTTACTATATGGAAGTACAAGGAACAATTCAAAAGAAAATTCTCAGACAGAGTGTGAACAGATATGACAGGAGAGGATGCCAACAAAATCATGCAATGTAATAACTGACTACAAGAGGAGTAGATCAAATGTAAACATTAGTGCAACACAAACAGACGCAATCAATAAGAAACACATCAGTAGATGCCACAAAACCCACAAGTCTCACCAACCGGAGATGCTATGTCCTCTAAAAGATGGAGTAGAAGGTAAAAGCCACAACAACTTGGTTGAAAGCTGTTAGGAACAACTATAGAGTCTGGATATCTCCCTGTCAGTCTTCAAGGAAAATGCCCAGCAACCTCGTTCATAATCTGATAAAGATTCACTTCAGAGAGGTTCTGGCTGTTGTAAAATCTGGCACTAGGTACTACAAGGCACTGTGCTTAAGGGGGAGATAAGGGGGCTTGACATGAAGGACCAGAACTTAAGATTATGTCCACACTCTCCAGCACATGTGAGGATTCTGGAAAACCATTAATTCAAAGTAAAACACCTTTCATTGATTGATGCTCAAGTTTCTTACCTAACTGACCTAAAAGGATACCCATTAATCACAAGTTCCACATAGTCATTATGGAAGAGGGCTGTCTTCCAGCTTTTTCAGTGCCTAATGATTAACTCCACAAAATAAACTCCACTCAGTATCATCTTCAACCTAAGAATTGCTATTTCCATAAAGCAAAGAGCAAAATGTTACTTAAAAAGGCAGCAAACAAGAAAAACAACAAAAAAATTCCCAGGAATAGTCAACAGTTGTCTCCCTGGCTTAAGGGCCTATGTAGTGCCGAGCAAAATCAGTGGAAAAAAAGATCCACAAACCAAGGTATCTTACAGTGAAATTTCAGAATACAGGACATTATATAATGAGCGAAAGAAAAAGAAGTTCTCTAGGAAATGCTTAGATATCAGAATGGGATTTCCCAATACTAGACATTAACAATGGGACAACTTCAAAATTCTGAAGGAAAAATGACTTTCAATCTAGAATTTTATTCTTTGACAAATAAACAATGAGTATGAAAGGCTTTTATTAGAGACAGAGGCCTGGCCACCTTTCCCCGGGAAGCTGAAGATGCATCACACCAAGCAAGGATGTGAAACATGGAAAGACACTAGATACAGGAAACAGAATCCCAGAAGAGAAAAACGGAAACAGTCTGCGGTGAGTGGGGTACACAGCCCAGCGTGGCAGTTCTCAGCTGGAAGCTAGAAGCATTGAAAGGAGGTCCTCCCTCCCCCCACAACCCTACCACTCCCCATCTGCTAAGCACACGATCATGATGATTATATTGTACGAGGAAGCATGCAGTATGTGGTGCAATTAGGTAGAAGAGAAACATGTATGGGGTAGTATTAACAAAAACTAGCTGTGATCAATGGACACAGCAAGAACTTTAAAAAATTTAAACATACACATTTTAAAAATACATGTCTACTTCCGGGAAGCTAGTTTACAAAAATACTTAAGAGTCTGTAAAGATATAGCAACTGTTTGCAGCATAGCTTGGTATACTTTCTTTTGAAACTACAGTCATATATTACTTCAAATAAAAATGTTAAAAGATTGCTAAGTGAACATCCATTTAGGCTTTAGGTTAAATACTTAATGGGCCTGGATTACTAAAATGATTCCCTGCTTTAAAACACCGAGCACCCACTGAGCTTCATATACAATGGTTTCCACTGCTGTGAATTAAACATGTCTTTGCCAAAAGAGTCATCAAGTATCAATATTCACTACTATAATTACAACATGACAGGAAACTGGTTACTTATCACCCCTTGATCTATCCTGTTTTTTTTTTCAAGGGGAAAAAAAAAAAAACAAAACAAAACCAACACCCTAAGTCTAACTCATTTATTTATTTTTAAAAGTTTTTTTTTTTTTTTTTTTTTTGCGTAGAAGAACTGGGGTGCAGGCCGGAGGTGTGGAGGGTGAGAGGATTCGCCAGAGACAGAGTGGGAAACTGAACAGGTAGACGGACTGAAATACACTGCTGAGGGGAGCAGCAGGTGAGACAGGAGAGGTCTGTTGTGCCACGTTGGTTAGCTGGAACTTAGGCTATCACAGCAGTAGTGCTGAGCTGTAACCCCTAGGCCACCAGGGAGGCCTCTAAGTCTAACACATTTAGTATTTATCTATCTCCCTTATAAAAACAGAGAAAAGAAGAAATCAACATTTATTTAAATATGAAAGGAAATTATATTAAAGAAAAATAAATGTGTGAGAAATCTCTCATGTTGATAAAAGCAAACCACATGGAATTCCGCCACAATTTTTCAGAGAAAAACAATCTTTATGAAAACTACCAACTGAGCTAATGAGTTTCAAAACCATTCAGAGTTTACTCAATCTAAAGAATAACGTATGTGGGCCTCCCTGGTGGCAAAGGGGTTAAGCCTCAGCGCCATCAAGTTATAGCCAGCCATTGCCGCGCGAGTTCAATCCGGGCACGGAGCTAATCCACATGGTGCAGCACACCTCTCCTGTCTCACCCATTGCTCTCCTCAGCAGTGTATTTCCGTGGATCCGCATGTTCTGCTCTCCACTCTCTCTGGCCTACACCCCAATTCTTGTATGCATACATAAATAAATCTTAAAAAAAAAAAAAAGATTAACATATGTACCACCTATTTACCTTCTCCGGGGAGATCGGCTTCTTCTTCTTGGAGATCGGCTACGTCTAAGTGGGGACCGAGACCTCCTTCTAATAGGAGATCTACTTGTTCTTCTTCTGGTTGGAGACCACCTGTTGATTGGGCTGGCATCTTTTGATCTTTCCCGTCTACTGAGGATGTCATCTCGAGGTCGTGTTCTTAATGGAACCAAATATAAGTTAACAGGAAAAGCATTTTGACTTGTCAAAATAAACAAATTTCTTCTATATGTAAAGAAAATCTTAAGAAAGGCACACTAACTCAAACGTAGTGAACAGATAAACATGTTTTGTAATAATACATTCAGAGGATCATGATGACATTTCATTGTTATGGTAAGCACACAAAAATTTTCCACTGATCTCATAATTTGAAGATTAAGATTATCCATAGTTAGAGCTGCTAATTCTAATCCCAGATAACTGAAATAAAACTTGCCCGAGTGATTTATAATATTCTATTACCTCAGTCTGAAGATCAGTTTTCTTTCTAAATGTTGACATTTTTACCAATAAGTCTTATAATCAATATTAACCTTGAACCAGAGGAACTATCAGTAAGGATTTTAAGGCTTAAGGATCCATCTAGTCACACAAGTAGGTACTGGTACAATTTTTCTGGAAGGAAATTCAGCAGTAACTCTCTAAAATGTAGATGTCTGTCACCTAATATTTTACAAGTCCATGCCTATGAATCTAGTCTGCGAAGAAACCTCATCCATAACTAAATATCCTTCCAAACAACAGGGGAAAAACTGGAACCAACCCAGCTTTTCATCACTTCCAATAGGGACTGATTAAATACAGTATACCTATACCGTGACATACCATGTTGCTGTTATACAAGCGTGAAAAAAAATGTTCATGTAATCATAAAAGTAAATCACTGTTAAAAAGAATAGTAAGACTCCATTTTTGGGGCCTCCCTGGTGGCGCAGCGGTTGAGCGCTGGGTTGTGAAGCTGCCTGCAGCCTCTGCAGTGCCGGTATGATCCCCGGCTGCTCCCCGGCCACCAGAGGAGCCTCTCCTGCCGCCCACTGCTCCCCTCAGCAGTGTACTTCGGTCCTTCTGTCTGCTCTGCTCCCCGCTCTGGCTCTGGTGAATTCTCTCACCCTCCCGCGCTTCTGACTGTACCCAGTGCTTATATAAATAATAAATAAATAAATCTTAAAAAAAAAAAAAGACTCCATTTTTTTTTTTTTTAAGAAAAAACAATCAAATAATTGTGCGTGCATAGAATAAGGGTTAAAGGACATATAATTCAGGCGTGGTCAAGAAAAGAATTTATAGGCTTCCACATTATTTGAATTTTTCCTTTAATTGGCAGGCACCTCTTCCGTAAATAACAAAAACAGTTTTTGTTTCAAATACCCAACTCGAGTCCTTAGCAAATGCCTCAAAATTTTGTTTTCAAACTGGCCCAGGACGGGGCCCAAGAAGGACCACTTTAGCTTAGGCAATCACCATAGGCTCACTGCAGAAAGGTGGAGGAGGAAAGGGCCATTTCATGACAGTCACTCAGAAGAACATGAGATCTCAACACAGCACACTCTAAAAACAACATTCTTGAAATTTCCCTGAAGATGATTTAAACTTCAAGGCCAACATATTTATACCTACACAATAAATATTAACATCAAAGAGTAAATGGCAGGAATTCAAATTATCGTACACAGTCGTAACAACTTTTAAGAGATAATTTCATATGACTAATTACTAAATATAACGACATAAAAGTAAGTCTCTAAAGTAGTTTAGACTAGTCAACACAACTCCTTCCAAATCCTTTCTGCACTATTTATTAGTTCTAAGACCCCAGGTAAGTTAAATAACCTCCCAATCTATGTTTCCATTTAAATATTAAGTGTGAGAATCACCCCACCTCATGAGTAGAAATGAGAATTATGAGGAAAAGAATGGACTGAATGTACCAAGTAATTCATATGAGACAGATAACATCATTTCTCACACTATTTTTCCAACATATGAGACAGATAACATCATTTCTCACACTATTTTTCCAAAACTTATGACTATTTTGTCAACAGTAAGGCATGTATATAAATTAGCAGGAAAAAAAGGTCCATTTTCAATTTGACTATAATATGGAGGGTCAAAAAAATTTTATCTTCAATCGATACTGCTAGAATTAAAAATCATGCAATTTCAGGAGTAGATAGGTTACAATCTTTAAACTGATACCTCCTTTAACATTAACAATATCAGCTTATACTGTTCAATGAATAATCCCTGTTCTATAAACTTCCCCCATAAGTGGAGGAATTTAAATCCAAATAATTTGGATTTAAAGGAGTGATTCTGGGGTCTCCCTGGTGGCACAACCTATGAAGCGATCCCCGGCCAGGGAACTACCCACATGGCGTAGCAGATCTCTCCTGTCTCACCCGCTGCTCCCCTCAGCAGTGTGTTTCAGTCAATCTGTCCATTCTGTTCCCCACTCTGTCTCTGATGAATCCTCACTGCCTGCCCCCCACCTCTGGCCTATACCATAGTTCTTGTATGCATAAATAAATATTTTTAAAAAAGAGTGATTCTGACAATTTTAGATACTAAATTGAAAACTTGTAGTAAAAAAATACTAATCTGTCAGCAAGTTTTGTGTTTGTAAATCATCCAATCAAGATACCAACAAAGTGCAAATATTAATGGACAACGTTATATTTAAAACCATAAAATTCATCACTATCTTATTTTTTACTGTCCACAAATTCTAATTTCTCTTACAAAGTCTGGTGCATTGGTTAAGGTAAGACAGCATTAGTATTTGAAAATGTTACCTCGGAGAAGAAAGTCGCCGCCTCTCTGGTTCTCTTCGTTTTCTTTCCAAGGATCGGCTCCTGGCTCTTCTACTAGGAGACAGAGTTCGAGAAGGTGACTTGCTCTGCTTAGACCTCCTGTCATTTAAAAGTGGAGACCTGCTTCTTCTCGATTTATCACGTGGTTTCGGAGAGAAACTTCTTCTTTTAGGACTACGACCAGGTCTTCTACTGGGTGACCTGTTTTCTTTCCCAGATGAAGCATCTTTAGAGGGAGATTTAATTGGCTTCTTTTCTCTATCAGTTTCAGACCGTTTTGATTTTCTTTCTTTGGAACGTGACCTTCTGTCTTTGGATTTACCTCTTAAGTCAATCGGGGATCTGGATTTTTTGACTCGGTCACGACTTCTTTCATTTATAATTGGGGATTTTTTCCTATCCTTTGATTTACTTTTATCTTCAATTTTTACCTTGTCATCAGCAGGAGATCTGGCTTTCCCAATTTTCTCTTGAGATCGCCTTCTAAGGGTGGGAGATTTTGACTTTCTTGTTTGATCTTGAGACTTACTTCTTTTCGATGGACTTTTGGACTTTTTCCTCTCCTTTGATTTGCTCCTAGCTATCTTCTCTTTAACTATTTCAGCACTGACCTTACTTTTCTTTTTATCAGACCTATGTCTAGTCCGTTCTTTGGATCTGCTTTTACTTCGCTTTTTTGTACTATTTTTATTGTCCATAAGTTCAAGTTTCCCCTTTGCACTGGAGGATCTAGTACTAGACCTATTTCCATTTCTTGCCTTTTCATGAATCTCCCCTTCTTCTTCTGAGCCAGACTCATAACCTTGTAATATGAGCCCCATCCCAGATTGGACTTTTCCTTCCATTAACTCATTATCAAGTTCAGCTTTAATCAAGGCTCTCTGTTTTTCTAAGTCTTCCAGCAAAGCTAAATCATCAAGTTTAGTTCTTTTTGCTGGAGACATACCTTCTTTGTCAGAAGCATCGATAATCTCTTTTCTTTTATGTTTCTTATGCTTATGCTTATGTTTATGTTTTTTATCTTTGTCTTCTTCTGAGGAATGTTTATGTTTCTTATGTTTACTTCTGTGTTTATGCTTCTTTTTTTTGTGACGACTGTGCTTATTTTGAGATTGATCTTCTGATACTTCTCCATTTTCTTCATTTACACTTTTCTCAGAATTATCAGCATCTTCCATCCTACAAATGCATCAAACACATTTTAAAACCATATCATCTATCAAACATTCAGTCATAACTAAATAACGACGACAAAATACATCCCGATATAATACATGAAGTCAGTCACAGAAATTCTTTCAGAGTATCTTCAGGCACTTTATTTCACAAGTTTATAGCAATAACTAGGTGACTAAATTTAATTGTCTCTGATGTAAACACCAAGTATTAGAGGATGAAGTCATGATGACATTTAAAAAAAAAAAGGGAATCCAAATCAGGTGTAATAAAATACCATTAGTATTGATTTAATTTAGCTGCCCCTCAGAAACATGATCTTTAAACTCGCATTTCCCATACACATTAACATTCCCATACATATTAACATCCCATACATACATACCAATATTTAGATCTACCAGGAGACTGTTCCCTTTCTCCACTTGAAATTCAGAAGGATACCTTCAGTTTTCTCTCAGTTTCTAGAGTCAGGACTGACTATGCCCCAAACAAGCACTCCATCAACGCACCCACCACGTGGCTTATGCTGATCATGTAAACACACCCCTCAGGGTTAAACTTCAAAGTGAAGTGACAAGGAGTGAGGACGCTCAACTGTATGTATGATGAGGATGAACAACATCAAAGGGTATGTTTTGCAAGTCAACAGTACAAGATTTTACATGGTTTAGCCCAGTATTTGTTCATCAGGCAATTTACTTTCTAAATTTCAAATGAAAGCCCAATTTCCCAAAACGTGGATATTAACACTGGTGTTATGCAAAAAATTTTAATTAAATTAAGGTGTAGCTTCTGTTCTATTAGATGTGTTTCTCAATTACTTTGCTAAATCCTTGCTGTTTGGTAATTCCAGGGTAAACAAAGGCTACAAATAGCATCTCCATCCTATATCATCACATACTAGAATATGAGATCCAAATCAATTTAAATTATTTGGATTCAGATCATCATACTATTTTTAGAGGAAGATATGGATTATTTTACTCAAATCCTTCAAATATTATACTCCTAGGACTTTTAGTAAGTTTACTATTTGAGCCCTATACTACAAATAACTTTTTGCAAAAACTTATTCAATTTATCATTTTTAAATAATCACATACTATATGTAGGCATTAAGCTAGGTAGCAGAAAAACAAAGACATATGAGACAAATATCTGCCTTCTTCAAGGAAATCAAAGTCCAGCGGAAAAGAAAACCACATGAAACATTGCAGAAGTGCAATGCTAAAGACATAAATGGACTATGGGAACTGGGAAGATCACTTACAATCATTGTGAAGAAGGTCAATGAAGGTATCTTTTAGGAGATCACAGAAAAACCCAAGCTATTTGTTTATCAGGAACTTAAGAGTAAAAGAAACACTTATCAAGAACCATCATCAATTAAAAAACTAAAAGTTCAGTAACACTGTCCTGGAGAATGAGTCAGGAATTAAAAGGGGAAGGGGCCTCTTAGTGAAAAAAGTGGCTGACAAGAGATAGTTCTTTATAGCAAACTTCAAGCTAGTCTTGCCAGGGCATCAGCTGTGGGAGAAACTGTTCTAATGGAGGTAAGACTTCAGCTGAGCACAATGACAGGAGACAAGACAGAGCATGCCACTCTGGAAAGTGGTTAAGACAAGAGTTAGAGGCTCCCTGGACTTGGAGGCCCAGGACGTGCAAGGTGAGGCTACTATAGGGGCTATCTGTGATGACGCTGTCACTACAAGGACGCAGAATTCTGAACAAAACTCTGGTCCTCCAGCCAGGTCCCAGTCTTCAATAGATGTGGGAGTATGGGGAGGAGCATTTGAAAAGTTGGGTAAAAACCACGAGGGGATGGAGACCATGTAACTACCACATGGCATGAAACTCAACTCTGATTTTTGGTTGTCAGTTGGCCAAATCTCCGTTTCTGGTTCTGTGGACTGTGGAAGTGGAAAGGGTTAAAGGTAGCTGCAGAGAACGCTAGGTCTTTTGGTTTTAGTTTTGACTGACCTCTCTTTAATGGGGTATGAGAAGACAGGATAAATGTAGTACTCTGGATCATCAAATTTTCTTAAAAATTTTGAAAAAGAGGGCCTCCCTGGTGGCACAAGGGGTTAAGATCCAACCTATGAAGCTATCCACAGCCACTGCAGCACGAGTTCAATCCCCGACCAGGGAGCAACCCACATGGCGCAGCAGACCTCTCCTGACTCCCCGCTATTCCCCTCAGCAGTGTATTTCAGTCAATCTGCCTGTTCTGCTTCCCACTTTGTCTCTGGTGAAACCTCTTACCCCCCACACCTCTGGTCTGTCCCCCAGTTCTGTATGTATAAATAAATAAACCTTAAAAAAAGGCAAAGCAAAACATGGGCATGGATATGGAGGTTGATAATGATTTTCAAGTATACAAAATCTAAAAGCTCCAAGCACAAAAGTCTAGTCAATAAGCTAAAACTCAAACTCTCTAAACCCCCCATCCCCCAACAGTCCACACGACGTAAGAATAGCTGGGTGGTTAAGCAGTCTCAAAACAAACTACTTGGGGTCCCACTACAGTGGTCTCAGGCAAGTTAAAGAGTGTGTGCTCTCACTCTGCAGGAACTACAACCATAAAATGAAGAAAATAATAGCTTCTACGTCAAAGCACAGGTTGCACGGGGTTAATACAGGTATTAAAGCTTGTAACAGTGCTTAGCATGATCCAAGTGCCAGAAAGTAAGCTGTAATTATTATTCAGATCCTGGATACATATATTCACTGGAGTCAACACTATGGAGCTCGCAGGGCTGATCTAAAAATGTTATTTTAAGGACCTCTTTAGTGGCGCAGCGGGTTGAGCACCGAGCTGTGAAGCTGTCCACAGCCTCTGCAGTGTGCATTCAATTCCCGGCCGGCCAGGGAGATACACACATGGTGCGGCGGACCTCTGCTGCCTTGCCTGCTGCTACCCTCAGCAGTGTCTTCGGTCTTCTGCCTATTCTGTTCCCCACTCTTTCTCTGGTGAATTCTCTTGCCTTCCCATGCCTCTGACCTGTACTCCAGTTCTTGTATAAATAAATAAATAAATCTGAAAAAATGTTAGTTTAAGGAATACTATCAATGAACACAGACTCTAGAATCAAACTCCCTGTCAAATGTTGCTTCCAACATAACATAGTAGTGTAACCTTCCCAAGTTACTTTGTCTCAGCTGCTCAAATGCAAATCTAGGGAAATAACAGTACTTATAAATTACAGGTTTGTTGTAGAAATGCATTCACACCTATAAATGACCGTCACACAAAACTGCTGAAGAAATAATGAATTCCCAAGACTCCACGACATCTGAGATTCCCCGACTCACTAGGATCCAGCCACACTGCTCTCTCCCTGAGCAGGTCCATCACCACCTTATCCTCCACTACAAGGCTTTGCACTTGCTTCCTCTGCCTGGAAAGTGCTCTCCAGATGGATAGTTGCTGGTTCTTTTACCTCAGGTTGTTGCTCAAATACTTCGCAGTCAGCTTTTTTGAGCCAATTCATTTTAATTGCAATCCTCACCCTACCACACACATATTCATATTCCCTTCGCTGCTTAATTTTTCTCCAAAGTAATTGTCACCACTAAATATAATTGTCTCTTTAAATCATAAGCCCTATGAGAGCAAAATTTCAACCTCCATTCCTACAGCCTAGAAGATTAGCTAACCTATGGTAGGTACTCAGTATTTGCTGCATCAATGAAATGATGGATGGAGTAAATATAAAAGTTGCTTCATTAGACCAAAGCTCATTTATAGTGGCCATTCTGGACTCCTTGCTCTTGATAGTAAACATTTTTGTTTTTGCTCAGTTATAGCTCCGGGGCCTCATAAAGCAGGCATACACTACTGGTTGAATGCAATCCCCCAAATGATCTGAATTTAATCACCTTCCACAAGAAAGATCTGCTCTTTAATTTTTTTTAAACTAGTGGTTTATATAACTTTTAAGTATTTCAGAGAGTTTCAAGTCAAATTCTTAACAGTTTTGCCACCAAAGTGATATCTTTCCAAAGAAATGCCAGCTCTTGGAGCTTCTGAGAATTGGAACCCACATCACCATGGCCAGGAGTTAACAGTCATTCCATTTCTAACTTAGACCTTCATCCTCCTCAAAGCAAATTTCATAGAAACTAACAACTGAAATCTGACCAGGTAAATCTGGGAAACTGAACTCATTCAGTGATATAAAATTATAGACAATGAACTTGTGCTCCAGGAATTAAGTTAGGCAAATAATCAACAACTTTCTTAAGAAACTCAAGTCTTCGTAGATATTTCATATTAGTAACTGCAGGTATAAAAGTTTCACATACATGAATTTACATTTTCCAACTTACTTATTTAGCTTCAATTGCATCATTTTTTATTGTGATAACAATGGGTATTTAACACTACCTATTTAGCAGGTAAGGTCTACACAAACCTGGCCTACTACAGGTTTATTTATCATAAAGCAATACCTGAGAACTGATTAAGTTTTCAAATCACATTATTTGAAAACTGTGCTGAATTTGAAGTGCAGACAATACTGCTAGCAGTATTTATTCATTTAATCTTCTTGTTAAGCACAATTTGCAAGTTTTAACCCTTCAAATAACCAAAGTCTTTGGGCAGCTGGCACAATGGAAAGTCATGGAACAACTTCAAAAGAAAAAGCAACTAGTTAGCAACCACCAGTGTTATTTTAACTTCCTATTTCACAACTTTTTTTCAAAGAATATTCTTAATGAATTTTACTTCAGAGGCATTCAATTTATGCTTTGGAATGGTGAGCAAATTCTGTAACACAGAATTAATGTAGATGTAGAAATAAGAATGACCCAAAGATCTATTAATCGTAAAACACACCCTTCCACCCTCACCTTTTCCAAATCTGTTTGGGAAATTACGTTTCAAAGAATTAGAACCATCACAACAAAAAACAGACCTTCCCAGGATGCTGGAAATAAAAATGATCTCTCAAATAAAAAGCTCTCAAGACTTAAAGGTTATGGGCCTCCCCGGTGGCGCAGCGGTTGAGCGCTGGGTTGCGAAGCTGCCCGCGGCCTCTGCAGCGCCGGTTTGATCCCTGGCTGCTCCCCGGCCATCAGAGGAGGGTCCCACATGGCGCGCAGACCTCTCCTGCCGCCCGCTGCTCCCCTCAGCAGTGTACTTCGGTCCTTCTGCCTGCTCTGCTCCCTGCTCTGGCTCTGGTGAATTCTCTCACCCTCCCGCGCTTCTGACTGTACCCAGTGCATGTATAAACAAAAACCAAACAAATAAATAAATAAAAAAAACAAAACATGCCTCTATTAAAAAAAAAAGATTAAAAAAAAAAAGACTTAAAGGTTATTTTTACAAAGAGTGGCAATGTGTACTAGGAGATCAGACTACAGTAGTTATGAGTAAGGTCCTAATATCAGAAGGCCTGTGTTTAAATCCTCGATCTATCATTTAAGTGTGGCCCTGGGCAAGTTCACGTTATTTTTCTGTGTTTCATCATCTGTAACATATAGGAAATAACAGTATCTCCACTGGGCTGTTTTAAGGATTAAACTAGTCAGTATTTGTTCAGTGCTAGGAACAGCAACTGATACTCAGTTCAAACAAGTCAATACATATAAGAATTTTTATTTTTATATATATTTTTTATTTTTTTAAAATTTATTTATTTGTACAAGAGCTGGGATACAGGACAGAGGCAAGGGAGGGTGAGAGGATTCACCAAAGACAGATCTGGGGGCAGAACAGGCAGACAACCAAAAACACTGCTAAGGGGAGCAGTGGGAAAGATAGAAGTCTGCCGTGCCATGTAGGTATCTCCCTGGCTGGGAATCAAATCTGTGCTGCAGAGGCTGCGGACAGCTTCAGAGCGCTGCGCTCAACCCGCTGCGCCACTGGTGAGGCCCACATAAGAACTTTTTGATCTTTAAATCTGCCAAAAGTCAATTAAAAAACACCGAAAAATGTAAAGGCCATTAAAAGTCCTGCCAGGAGCTTAAAACCTGATTTTCATATTCATTTTTTTCTAAGTTTTCTCTAACTATTGATAAATTCCATATAGTTGTAAACTTCCCATTGTCTTCTCTAAAGAGCCGCTTAGCCAAACTCCAGCATTCATTACAAGCTTTCACATTAAACTGTTATTTTACATTTTTTGTAAGTGAAAGCGGGACATACATAGACCAAATATTCCATATATTCCAAGTGTTTGGTGGGTTGGGAGAGTGGAATTAAAGACTATTTTAGTGTCAGTCATACGGCTGAGCGCTGGGCTGGGAAGCTGTCCGCAGCCTTTGTAGCACCGGTTTGATCCCTGACCCCCAACAAGGGTCCCACATGGCACACAGACCTCTCCTGCCATGCTCACTGCTCCCCTCAGCACTGTATTTCTTCATTCTGCCTGTTCTGCTCCCTGCTCTGGCTCTGGTGAATTCTCTCACCCTCCCATGCTTCTGACTGTACCCAGTGCTTGTTTAAATAAACAAATAAACAAATAAATAAATAATAAAAAAGCTAGAATTTGAATATGGAAACAAAATATGGTTAAACCTTCCCTCAAAATGAATGAAACGTCCCTGAAAATAAATGGACAAAATATTACAGAACCTTTCAGATTACTAGAAAAATCAACTGCTGAGCATAAGAGTGCTACTGTATTGGCATAAACACTGTTACAGTAACTGTAAACTCCATGAGAAACAAAGAAGCAAAGTCTAATGAAAACTTTCAAATCCATGCGTTCCAGTATGTCAAACGGTGAAGATATTAAAGCAGCTTTCAAAAGTCCTTAAAAATAAACTAGTAATTCTCCGTCCAACTGAGTCAAGCAAAGACTGAATCCGTAACTGGACGGACAGCAATGAAGTCGAGATGGGCCGTTCGTCTGGTGGCCAAGATTTCGCCTATCTCTTAGTTCCAAGTTGCTGGGAGACTGTGTCTAACTTTCCTAAGAAGGGCAGAAACAAATCAGATAATGCAAATGTAGAAAAGGGCCGCTACAGGAACACCTTTTAGGTTCTTGCTTTGAGTTTTCCTCGCATAAACATGGGAGGGTAAAAAAACTCCAAAAAACAAAACTGCCGTCTTCTCAGCCTATCCAAGAAGTTTGTTTTCACTTGGTCTCATGAATTCTTATATTCTCTTAACCATAGTCATGACTTGGGTTTGGAACTTCCACCAATTCTTCCATTCAGACTCTCAAAGAAGAGTTATAAACTCACGCTGAAGATGCCAGGCCTCAAAACCAACGACTTGATCTAACTTTGCCTTAAGTTTGCAAGTTGGCAGCTAAGCTGCCACTAGGCTGGGTGGGACCGAGCGGTGGTTGCTGGAGCCCTGAGCCCAAGGGCGGGGAGATGAAATATCCCGCTCGCCACAAACCTCAGCTCCGGGGCATTCAAAAGGGGTGGCCTTAGCACCCTTTCTCCCGATTTCTCGTCGTAAAACTGGCACCCGTAGCAGGACGGCCGGGGGCGCGGCAGGCGGGAGAAGTCTTCGGGCTGGCCCCAGCAGCGATGCAGCGGAGTCCGGGCGACCAGTGAGCCGGGCTGGGTCCCCGCGGCAGGACCCCGAAGGCGCGGCCGCACCGCCGCCTCCCGTTCGGGACCTGTAGAGGCCGCTCGCGCCTGCGCCTCCCAGGGCAACGCCGCGCGCAGGCCGCGGCCGCCCTCGACCCAACAGCCGCGGCCTCCGGAGAGCGCAGCTGCAGGGCCGCCCGCCCGCGCCTCTCGCCCCACAACGTACCACGCGGGAAGGGCAAAGTTTGGCGTTCGGTGTTAGGCCCGAACTTTCCCGCCCCATCGTGCGGGTCGCCGCCGTTCCCCACTCGGCAGGGCCCAGGCTGCGGCCCCCCGCGCCACCCAGGTCGTAGACTCCACTTACTCGGGCTGTTCCCGCAGCGCCTGGGGCTCCGCGGCGGCCATCTTGAACTTCCTGACTCCTTGGCGGCGGCGGCGGCGGCGGCTGTCCGGACGCTGGGAGCTGGAGGAAGTGGAGGAAGCGGGAGCGGGGCCTGCGCGCATGTGCTAAGCGCGTAGGGACCCGTGGAGCTCTGAGGCTGCTCTAAGAATCCGGGGATAAAAGTGCATCCGGGGACAGGGCGCCAGAGCGTCATGACGTACTTCCGGTCCGCTACGGGGTCGGAGCGGGAGGGGGGCGGGGCGAGGAGGTGGGGCCTGCTGCTGGGGGGTTAAGGTCTATGGTTTGGGGATGTAAACTCCAGTTGGTTAGCGCCGCATGTTTACTTCTCAAGATCTTGGGGGAGAAGGAAGGGAGGGAAGTGAGATATGTCAGTTTCGTGCTTTCACAGTGGGTCCCAGAATTTGGGTTAAAAATGTCTGACTAGGGCCTCCCTGGTGGCGCAGGCGGTTGAGCGCGGCGCTGTGAAGCTGTCCGCAGCCTCTGCAGCGCCGGTTCGATCCCCGCCGGCTTCGGAGCAACCCACATGGGAGGGGCAGGCCTCTCCTGTCTCGCCTGCTGCTCCCCTCAGCAGTGTATTTCAGTCAGTCTGCCTGTTCTGTTTCCCAGTCTCTGGTGGGACAGAGACACCCCCCTGCATCTCTGGCCTGTACCACAGCTCTTGTATAAATAAATAAATCTTAAAAAAAAACCACAGCAAAAATCAAACTAGGGCAATCAAGATTTTGCAGGCTGCTAATTTCTTTTTTCCTGGCTAGATAAACGCAATCTAAAATGGCATGAATGGCCTCCCTGGTAGTGCATCGGGTTGAGCACGGTGCTGTGAAGCTGTCCGCAGCCTCTGCGGCACGGGTTCGATTCCCGGCCGGCTAGGGAGATACCCACTTGGCGCAGCAGACCTCGCCTGTCTCGCCTGCTGCTTCCCTCAGCAATGTCTTTGGTCGGGCTGCCTGTTCTGCTCCCCACTCTGTCTCTGGTGAATTCTCTCATCCTCCTGCACCTCTGGCCTGTACCCCAGTTCTTGTATAAATAAAATCTTAAAAAAAAAAAATAAAATGGCATGAAGGGAAAGGCAGAGAGGCATTTTGAGAATACTGGAAAGTCAGGGGTGTACCTAGAAGGTAATTATAATATGGAAATGCTCCCATACTTTGTTGGAAACTGTTCAACTTTGTTTCAACCTTCCTTGAGTTCATGAGTAACAATACAGGATTTGTTAGTCTTTGGTTCTGTAAATTGAATTTTTAAGTAACATATTTGGTCCAAATACTCTAATCTTGTTTTTCTATAATAATAGACTCTAAGGTAATGTGGTTAAATGAAATATCGATGAGAAAACATTTACTTGCTCTTTCAAAACCAGGTAGGTTTTTTTATATGTCGCTCCTTTCTCGGAATTAAAAAAGGCACCTTTCTCCATACCTGGTACGGAGAATGAAGATCGCTTTGATTCTTGTAATCAGTGGAGTTTGGAATTACACTAGAAATTTGTGCCTGGAATATGTGGCTTTTTTATCCAGCCCTTGATTTTCAGAGTGGGAGTTAACCAATGTTACAAAATAAGTCCCTGGTTGGCTGAATTCCAAACGTGTCGAAATTTTCCTCTTATGGATTTGATATTAATATGGAACACTAAATTAATCCTTTGTGGATCGCCCCACCTTGCCCCAACAGTACGGTCCTTAATTACGCTGTTTTCTTTATGAAGGATTTTCTTTCTCCTTAACAGATTCATGTATAGCAGTTTAGACTTCTTTCAAAGAAAAAGGTTTCAGAGCTGTTAAGAATGGTTTAACCATATATTCTTTTCTGTATTACTAGTTTCTAGGTTGGGAATTCAGAGTTCAAATGGTTCCTACTTCTAGTCTCTGGTCCTTATCTTTTCAAACATATTACAAATTCAGGTTTGTATTTAGTTTACTATAATATATTCTCTTCCTCCCTCACCATTAAGGCAAGGCTCTAAGTCATTGTGTTAAAATATTTAGTAAATTTAAAGTTTCAAAAGTAAAATAAGCAAACATATCTATTACAGATCAACAGTATAAACTCATTACAGATCTTTTCTTGGAAATAAATACAAACCCTTAAGAGAAAGCATCTAGGACATAAAGTAGAATAGAATGTACTTTAAGACCAGGGTGGGTGAAAGCCTAGCACACTGGCATTAAGAAGTAAGGTAACTTGTTTCTGATGACTCAGCCCCTGTGCCAAGTCTGGATTTGAAACTGACCTCTAACTCCTACACCCAACTCTATGCTCTTTCCTTTTTACCATGCTGCTTCCCTCAGAAATGTCATTTATTTAGAATCTTCTCAGAGTACTCACATACATAGCTCTTTGTTATTCAGATGTTTGTTCAGTAAAGGTAACTGGAAAGAGCACAGGACTGGCATCCAGAAATGCCTTATTTTCACGAATCCAGTACAGTTTCCTCCTTTATCATTTGTGGAGACTTCATAGGCGGTTGGCTATCTCCTCCATCACAGTATCTCCCCGGTCCTATTTTGCTCAAGTCTTTGCAGCAGGCTTAATGTGGAGATTAAGCGAAAATGACATTAAATTGAGCTAAGATTAAACCGTGTGTTTAATTCAGGTTTGTATTTAATCCATTCCAGTTTTTAAAGAGAGTGAGTATATTGAAAAAATATACTGAAAAATAATACTGGCAAAAAAATTTTTCCTTTGAAAATTTCTCACCAAATTCGCTTCTACATTTTGAAGGCGGCGTTAAAATTAAACATCCACGTATAGGTTAAGCATTCAGCAAATGTTTAATTAAGCGACTGCTTTTCCTCCCCGATGTTGGGGAACCTTTACACCCCAGCAGCTGCGGTCTGGGGGGAAACCGCCGCTGAGGGACAGTTTCAGGTTTTCGCCCGCCGGAAGTCCCTTCAAGGGCGGGGCCTCGGTGACCGCGCGCTTCCCGGCGAGGGGGGGGGGTTGCGCAGAGCGGACGCCCCGCCCCGGGAGGCGTGTCCCTGTCTGCGTGAGTGCGTGCGTGCGTGCGTGGGTCCGGGGAAAAGGGGTGGGCGGAAGTGAGGAAGTCGCGGCCTCTGTCCCTCTCCGCCCACGCTCAGTGAGGCGTTCCCGTGCGTGCGTGCGTGCGTGCGTGCGTCCGGAGAAAGGGGCGGGCGCCCCTGTGGCGAGCTCAGCCCGCGTCCTTCGATTTCCCCGCCCTGAAGCGGCGGACCAGGGCTGAGCGCTTCCCGCCTCTTGCCCCTCCCTCGCGGGGCGACCCCTCCCCCGGGCTCCGAGCCTGCCGCGGCGCCGTTGCAGCCGTTGTGGTCGAGTCCGTTTTCCAGAGCCGCCAGGCCGGCCCGACGGGTCCCCGGGGTCCCCCTCGGCCCGCCCGCTCCTGCGCCCCGGTCCGCCCGGGTCCGCCCGCGGGGCGCGCGCGCTGCCGCCGGGGCCCCGCGGCGTAGCCGACACACGTGGAAACCACATTTGGCACCTCCCGCCCCCCACCCAGTGCCCACCAGGCCGCCCCGCCCCAGGGTTTCGGGGACGAGCAGGCTTTAGTGAACACTTGGGGGTGTTTCCCTCCTACCGGGTTCGCTTCCTTCCACTGCCGCGCGAGACGCAGGCCGGGAGGTTGGAAGGTGGTTTTGAGTTCGGTTTCTCCCGCGCCAAGGACTGAGCGAAGTCAGGTCGGCGCTGCACGCAGAAGTGAAAATCATCCTAAAATGCTTTGAAGGAAACTCCTGGTCCCTGTAGAGTCCCCAGATGTCAAAAGAATGTAGGTGGCTCTTTAGAGAATCTTTGAAGATTTTGTCCAGTTTAGATCTCGACTTGGACTCTGCACCTGTTTGCGCAGACACTGGGCAGAACTTTTCTTATTACAAAACAAAACTCTGGTCCCAAGAAAAGTAACTTGGGGTGTGTGTGGGGTGTGTGTGTGTGTGTGTGTGTTGCATTTATGTAAGTCTGGAAAATACCACAAAGCCAAAAAGGCATGAAGACCACGCAGAGTTCCTTTGCTTGATTCCTTACGGAATATTAAGTTTTCTGTACTCATGTGCAGAATGTGGTAGTTTGCATTGTCAGGTAACACGCCCATCTATTTTTATACATTTCTGGGTTTTCTAAGGACATGATACCCCTTTCCTTTCTTACTGGATGCCTAGATCGGTTCACTTTTGCCCTATTTATTGATATATGACTGGGGAGGTCATAGCTACAGTAGTATGTAGAATGTGGCCGTTCAAGTCAGGTGGACCTGGCCTTCACTTCTTGCCCTGCAACTTCAAACAACTTCTTTCACCTTTTGAGCCTCATATTACCAATCACTGACATAATTGCTTTCATCACATGGAATTATTATAAGAATTAACTGAAATAATGGCTGAAAATTTCTGGAGGGCGTGTTGGCAAATGCTATCATTTTCTGTAGGCAGTTTTTGGTTTTGCTTGCTTCTGTGGTTTTTTTTTTTTTTTAAGATTTTATTTATTTATTTATACAAGCACTGGGTACAGTCAGAAGCGCAGGAGGGTGAGAGAATTCACCAGAGCCAGAGCGGGGAGCAGAACAGGAAAAAGGACCGAAGTACACTGCTGAGGGGAGCAGCGGGCGGCAGGAGAGGTCTGCGCGCCATGTGGGACCCTCGCTGGCAGCCCTGGATCGAGCCTGCGCTGCAGAGGCTGCGGGCAGCTTCACAACCCAGCGCTCAACCGCTGCGCCAGCAGGGCAGGCCCTGCTTCTGTGTTTTTAATTGGTGTGACACCATGGTTTATTTCCAGAATTTGTATATAGTTAAATACTATCACCACACTGGGTATAAGGGATTTTATACAGTTTTTCATGTGTTTTATTACATAAGAATACAAAAAAAAAAAAAAAAGTAATACAGGGCCTCCCTGGTGGCGCAAGGATTTAAGTCGCAGCACTGTGAAGCAATCCGCTGCCTCTGCAGCACGAGATCTAACCCAGCCAGGGAGCTACCACATGGTGCAGCAGACCTCTCCTGTCTCCCCAGTTACTCCCCTCAGGCCTGTATTTCAGTAGATCATCTGTTCTGCTCCCCACTTTGTCTCTGGTGAATCCTCTCACCCCCCCCACCTTTGATCTACACCTCAGTTCTTGTATGCATAAATAAATAAATCTTAAAATATATATATATGTAATACATACACTAGAAACTGTT